TTATCTACGGCTTAAGGTTTAGGGTGTGGTTCAGGGTCGAAGAACCGCAACAGGTCCATACCATTTTTCGAAACTAGCAAACATAGAATGGAATTCGCTTGCGGGTTGCAGGATTGCGGATTTCCTGATCGAGTATGCCGTGTCATGGAGAGAGTGAGGCCCGTCGATCCCGTTTATGAATCATTTACCCCCTGAGCCGGAAAAGCCTCACTCTCTCAAAATCCTAACCCAACTGATCCTACACCCTAGACTAAACCCTAAACCCTTCTACACAAGGGCCTTTGGGAGTCGCGAAGACCACGTTCACGGCATCCGTCAGGTTCTGAGGCACGTTGCCTGGGCTTCGGAGTTCTTTCGAAACCCTTCGGGGCTGCTCCGGGAGCCGTAAAGCCCTGAACCTCGAGAAAATTCCCAAATGCCTCCTTTGGGGTTTAGGGTTTGGGGTTTAGGGTTTAGGGCCTAAATCCAGAGCCCGAAACGTCAATCCTAGACTCGAAGCTTTGCGCCCGAAGTCATCTTCCCCAAGGCCCGATCCTTCCAACCTCGAGGCATCTTCCAGCCCTAGGGGCCGTTCACGTGCTCCACGATCCACTTGGCATCGTCGACTGTGGCCATGATGACAAAGCCGGCGCGGGCACTCCTCAACATGTACAGCCAGCATCAGTACTGCGGAATCCTGATCCCTAAACCCTCCCCGAAACCCAGATGTCCCGAAACTTCAAAGCGGGTCAGCGGGTTCGGGTGTGGGATTTGTCTCTAGGGTATATCCTGAAACCTAAAACCGTAGAAAAGAGGGCAGCTTGGGGGGTTGAGTTTACCATGGGGGCTTTGAGCTCTGGGCCCTAAACCCTAAACCCTAAGGGTTTAGGGCTCGGGTTTAGGGACTGGGGACTTCATGAACAGGAACGCGGAGCTAAGGGTTCCGGGTTTAGGGTTTCGGGTGTAGCGATCTGGGATGAAGCAACCTTGCGCACAACTCGCACCGACATAGAACAATGGCAAGCTTTGGCTGAAATCTGAAGCTGGAAACCCTAAACCCTAAACCCTAACCCTGAAAATCATAAAGCCGAAACTGCGAGATCGAACCACCACCCCAGCGTGTTGAGCGCGGCACTTGCCAGGGCTCACGGGGAGGATGTTCGTGTCCTTGACCTCAGGAGCTCAAGTCAAGTATGTTACAGTCCTCCGGGCTTCGCCTTGCGCTTTGATTCTGAGGGGTTTCGGATGTGCAATCTACAACTTGCGGAGGCGGGGGGGAGGCGCAGGGCCGGCCGGGTTTCAGGTGATTCATGGCTTGAGGTCTCAACCAAAACCTGCAGAAAGAAGGGCTTCAAACATGATAGTTTTAGCACTACCTGAACCTCCGAAAGTAGGGAAAATAAATGGCCCCATACCTATAAGAGTGCTCTTGTTCTGCATACCTTGGGGGTCTTGGGAGGGTTTGAGGGCTTAAGGCTTAGGGGTTTGAGGTTCAGGGTTGGTTTAGGGTTTTGGGCTTGGGTATATTCGAGCCCGCAGCCCAAAGACTAAGTCAACAGTCCTCCGAGACCCCCATGACACAACAACAAGTGACGAGACTTCGCAGGTTGGAGGATGATTCCGACGATCATGGTGAGGGTGGGTTTCTGATTCATAAAGCCCATAAGTCATGATCCCACGATAATGCCCTTCACGAAAGGGATTCATTGATCAGGGGCATGCATCATCACTCTCTTCACTAAACCTTTTTGGAACCGCCAGAGGAACCTTGCACACCTCAAGCCTAAACCCTCAACCCTCGACCCCAAACCATGAAACTAAGCCCTAAATCCCTAAAACCCTCATCTCTAAAACCTCAACCCAAAAGAACCTGAGCCCTCAACCCCAAACCCGAACCGCTGCCCGCTGGCCGTGCCGTACTGTCCGAAAATCTCCTTCGCATGCTCGTTGGTGCAATTCAGGGGGAGCCCGGTCCTGGCCAAGAGAAGGCAACCCTTTAGCAACGGTTTGGGGTCTGGGGTTAAGCCTCTACACCCTGAACCCTAAATCCAAAAACGCTAAACCCTAAACCCTAAACCTTTAGCTGGGGTTCTTGTCAAGCTTACTTCAAGCTGCCATAATAAGAGAGCCACGTAGCTTTAGATCACTACTATGGTAACTTGGACTAAAAGCGCTTTATTAAATCCAAGGGTAAAAGGAGGGACCCTTAATACGGACCCCTAGGTATATACCCTTAATATAGCTATTATATACCCATTATATAGCCCATCATAGGGTAGGGGTCCCCATTAAGGGTCCCTCCTTTTCCCCTTTGATTAAAAGAACCCATTTAAGGCTCCGAGCTTCGAATTGAAGGGCCTTGCGTGTTGCAACCCTAACCGCCTAAATCGCAAAGCTGTAACCCTAAAGCCGTTAGGTTTCAGGGTTCAAGAAAAGTAATTCCTAAACCCTCCTCAGGCTTTAATCCCTAGATTCCTTGATCCTGAATCTTCAACCGAAAAGATTGTAACAGTAAGCCCCAATGGCCCAAACACCTTAAACCCTAGACCCTTGAACCCTAGCCCCAGGTCTTAAACCCTTTTCCTACAGCTTAAACCCTAAACCCATTGATCCCGAACGCTCCCTAAACCCCGAAACCTGAAACGTTTAGGAACCCCAAGTTTCCCCCTAAACCCTAAACCTTCAACCGTAGAGGCGGGTTCGCCTTGGCCTTGGGGTGTTGTTGGGGATGTTTGTTTAGAGACTGCGGTGCTCAGGGACCAAGTGGGCATAGGGGCTTTTGTTGGTTTGCGGTTTAGGGTCTCTGACTCCGGATTTTGGGCTTAGGACCAGGAATATTTCGTCACAGGGCGTCTTCTGCGCGACGCTTATGCGGTTGACCGTTCAGGGTCCTTGCATACAGCGCCTAGAACCACGACGCTGAATGTAGGTTTCCAGCACATGTGACTCAAATCGCGGGCGCAACAGCAACCCGGTAACCCTAAACCCCAAAGCCACTCCAAAAGCACGGCTCAGCCGAGAGGCACAAAGAGCGTCTCGCTCGGAGGCGGCTGCAAGGTGGCCAACATCTTCAGGCAAAGGAATGCAAGCAAAAATTGCCAGCAAGGTCCGGTTTAGGCCGTGGAGACCATCGAAACATGCATCACATTGAGTCGCTACGAGTACCCTGAACACTCCAGAGCTGTAGCAGAATCTTGAAGATGAGTACGTGACAGCATGAAAGTAAAGTTACCATCACCTGCAGGTACAAGCAAAGCTGTAGGGCCAGAATCAGGGCGGACTGTGTCATGCTGAGCTCTCCTCCTGCAAGAAAGGACGGCACAAAGCCTGGGCACTTGCAGTGCCAGTGCATGGTACGGACTCATGCAAGCACCTTCTCTGCGCAGACGGAGGTCTTCGATCCATGCAAAGCTGTCGCAGCCATTGGCTTGCAAGACTTTGCTTGGACTTGGTGCTTGAATCATGGAACTCCTAAGCCCTAAGCCGCCGTTCTACGCTCCGGAAGCTTCCAGGACACCTCCGTCGACCTTTGGGAAGAAAGCTCAGATCACGGCTTCGGTGTGCTATGAGACCTCTTCAATCCGACTACGACCCCCATGTTAGACAGAAAGTTGTTGTCCAACGTCCCAAGAAGCTTCCGAACTTAACCTTGCCTGATTAGATACACTTTTTCGATTGGCCAAATTCCACCAGCTGTACATGGGGAGATCCAAAGACGGAGCTCTTGTAAACCTTGAACACTTCATGCCTAAACCCGAATCCGTTAATCCTGCATGACTCAACCCTAACCCCTCATGCAAGAGGGATCCATGCTTTGAACTCCCACATGAGCGTGCAAGGAAGATCCAATTCAACAAACATGCCAATATGGCAGCAGTTACAAGGGGAAAAACGGAGAGATCCGACATGTTCTAGTGATGAAAGCGATGAGTAATCTTACGGTTAGTGCTTTCCTTAGCCACCGTACGCTGGGAAGCGATGGCCTCTCGCATCGCCATATCGTGATGACGAGATGCCCAGCAAAAATGGCTTAACTGCAGGCATCCTTAATGGAAAGCAGTACCGATGCGCCTATAGCGAACCCCCATGGGTTGAGGATGAATAGCGTTGGGACTCCCTACACCGCAGGGGCATGAGGAGACTGATGTCCCAACAATTCCCAACTCTCCGGCTGAAGTACTGTCCCTAAACCCTATCAGCCTAAACCCTAAAAATTTAAGCCCCAAACCCCTAACCCTAGTGTATAAGAAATTGAAGCAAACCCGGAAACTCCTAGGAGTGGTCGCTCCGCATTTCCGTTGGAGTTGGCGCCAAAGCCATGTCTATCTAACCAGCACTCTTTGGCTGTACGGTTTGGGGTTTAGGGATATTTAGGGTTTGATTGTCTGGGCATCTTCGTTTTGGGGTGTCGGGTTTGGGCTGAATGATGCTCTTCAGGTTTCAGTTGCAAAGTCGCTGTTCTTGTTTACTGAGAAGCCAGTTGGTACTGGTAGGCATGGCACAAGCAGTGTAAAGCGTCGGCTCATTTCAAAAACCGACACCGTCCAATGCGCCGTGAAGGCATTCGACCCAGGAGGGCGATATCCTCACAGCATTTCACGGCCACACGGTGAGGTGGCATATAGCCACGTATTGCTAGAAGCTCCCCGGAAGGCATTCTGGGGCTTTACACAACTGAACCCCTAAGGAACCCTAAAGAATTATGTGCGTAATAGTTATGGACCACTAAGGAACCCTCAAGAATTATGTGGTTAAATTGTTAAGACTTTGTATATTGGCCAAGCTCTCGGTCGAAGCTTGGGGAGAAGCTTTGAGAAGTGGGCCGCAGAGGCTTCTTTCAGAAGCACGGTCCGGGGAGGTGTGAAAGCACTCGGCCCAAGAAGGGCGGCGCTCACGGCACACAGGATAGCAATAAGCTACACCATGAGGCGGCATGCAGCTAATTTTTCCCCTCCTCCTTGAAAACTCTATATCAGCCTATGCTTGGGAAGGAAGGGGACTCAATGTCGCGGGGGAGGGGATTACTGCCAGAAGTTCGCAAGCAGACCAAAGGACCCGGCTGCAAAGTAGTAGCAAATCTTCTGTACGTTGGATGCAGAGACCCGGATTCCTCTGGTGTAGAAGCCCGCTCGGCTCTGCAGTATGTACTGGACAAGATACTGGCGGGATTCATCCAAGACTTCACTCTTGAATGCCCATGAGTTCACTAGTGGGGCGAGTCGGTCCACCTTCTCTGTGACGGCTGCGGCACTGGTGAGGCTGTAGAGGAAGAGCAGCACGGGAGGATAGAGCCATCCCAGCCACAGCCCCAGGTCTAGGAAGGCCGTGCCGTGGCCGGAGAGGCTCAGGGACACGACCTGTCTGGCAAACAAGATCAAGGACATAAGGCTTATAATGCTTATCCCTGCCTCAAAGCAAAAACTAAACCCTAAACCTCAACCCTGCGCTTAAGGATACGACCTGGTAGGCAAACAAGATCATGGAGATGATGCACGAGGAAGCCAGCACCGCCAGAAACTCGCTGAGCTTGCAGGACGTCTGCCGCAAGGTTGCCTGCACCACGTTCCATTCCAGCACGGCGGCCTGCATGTCCACAGTCTTACGATTCTCACGCTGATATTGAAGTCAAACGGATTTTCAGAATAAAAGGAATGTTTTCTGGAGGGATGTATTCGCACTAGGCTTGCCCCAAAGCAAGACGGTTTCAGGCGCATGGTTCGACTGCTATCCCATGGCAGTAGGATTGCTTCTGCATTTCCTGCCCCGATCACTGGTTGTTCGCATAGTTATGTACGACGGTATTGATTTGATGAGACACATCTAACTCGTAAACTATCCGCTGTACTTATTGGCCACAGACCCGGATAGGCAAACCTCAAACCCTAGAGCCCTGCGCCTTTAAATGTTTCGTGCGCGCATGAAGCCGCATTGTCTGTCATTTTGCTTCACTTCTGATCTGGCTAGTGCTGGCCTCGACAAGTATCCTGTACGGAAACTGCCGAACTCACATCCGTGCCTCTCGCAACCCCATTCTAGAACCAAACGCACCGGAATTAGCTAGCTGTAGCAGGAGAGCCTCTTCAGTGTTAGAGCTGCATATTCACGGGGAGTCTCACTTCTACGCAAGCGATATGTACTTCCTGCCTCCATGTCAGCCGTCTTAAAGCAACGCACTGCAAAGCTGTCGACTGCCAGCTCCAACCCAGCTGTGATGTGAAGCGTGCAGTAGCAAGCGGCGCAGAAGCACACGGCCATGGCCGCAAAGGCTGTGATCGTAACCTGAGGTTGAGGGATTAGGGGTTAGGGTTTGCTCGCGCAAAGGCCATGGCTGGGACTAAAAGCAAGGTAGTCCGCAGCACGAGACCAAAAGACATGCAATGTACATAATAATCAGCATAATCACCGTTACCGCAACCATCATCATCATCATGATCTTCATCATTATCATCATCGTCGGCACTATCACTAACAGTGCCATACAATCCGCAACAACAACTAATTGCTTAACGAGCGAGGCATCTGCATAAACAAACGCCCCATTCCAGCAAAACACTATGATGGGGATGCTGTTGAAGAAGATGTTCATGATAAGGATGATACTGATGATGACGATGATGATGATCGTAGGGCTGGCGACAGAACAAGCATTATGGCCCGCCAAGTAGCGACATCCTGTGCAAGATCTTGCGTAAGCTTCCCGTGGCTGGGATGTGACGTCAGCAGCAAGGCCGATGTGCCTTGTTTGCCAAGTTTGCTGACTAGGGGTGACGGCCAGAATCCTCCTTGCTTTCAATGAGGCTTCGTAGTATGAGAGAGTGGCGGTGCTTCATGTACGCTGTTGGGGGGCATATGACTGTGTTTTTGTATCATGCAGGAACTGTAAAACAAAAAATATTCCCGCTGCTCCGACCCGTGTACTCAGCATACAAGGTGCGGCTGCTCAACATCAGCACGAAACCACCGCAAATCTGCAGCAGCCGGAGCCGTGAGAGCTTTCTCCACTCATCCAAGAAATCGCACTCAGCTGCCTGGCATCGACTTAGGGCTTATAGGGTTTGGGTCTTTTTGATTTTGGGTTTTGGATGAGGGGCTCAGGGTTTCGCGTTAAGAACGTCATGGGAGGAGGAACACACGTTTCGTTTCAAGGGCGGCTCAAGGCGTTGACTTCGTGGAATTCGTCCGTGGGGGGGGTGGGCTTGTTGGGCGGGTTGGGGGGGTTGGGGTCGGTTTATGGTTTAAGGTTTGGGGCTTTAGGGTTTAGGGGTTTAGAGGGGGTTTCAGGGACAGTAAGTTCCACGCCCGTGAACCCCGAATCCAGAGGGGCCGATCCACAAACCAGCACCCCTTTTAGGGTTCCTTAACGTGGTTTCCCTATATGAAACCTGTAAACAGGTAGGTTGCTTAGGGTTCATTAATTAAGGTAAGCCCTCAACCTCTACCAAGCCCGAGATCTGTGGAGTCAGGTCCATTTTGGGTTTCGCAGGGTTTGGGGCTTGAGGGCTTTAGCGTTTACGTCCTGACCCTCGGCCGGAGGCTTGTGAAACACCTACGCTTGGCCGCTTGAATCTTAGACAAGCAAGGATGCTAAAACTCTCAATCCACGACCTAAACCCCTCAGCCCCAAAACCCCGAATTTACCCAAATCCAAGACCACAAAGCCAAAGCCCTGTAGTAATAATGAACCCTTGAAGGGCCCTTGAACCCCGATAGACCGAAAGGGATCGTCAAAACCAGGCGGCGTAGTCGTCCAGCAGGTGTTCCGTGGGCCCGAGGAGCTTTCCGATCTTCGACCTGTCCAAGACGTCCGGCTGTTAAGGCCAATGGTTTGGGGCTAAAGGTTCAAGCATGAAGGTTCCGGGCATATGGTCAGAGGTTTATACGGTTTCAGGTTTATGATTTCAAGTTTAGTGAGTGTAGTGTTGAGCAGTTGAAGGCTTGGAGCCTCGACTCCAAAGCATGAGGTTAAGGGTTTAAGGCTTCAGGTTTAGAGCTACTGGATTTTTTTAAAGTGCACTGATTCTTTCTCCACTGAGCTAAGGGTTTAGGGTTCCAGGTTTCAGATTTGGGGCTGGGAGGACCGATGGCTTCTGACTGATCCCCGGGCCTTGGTGGTGGTGTTAACTTCTTTGTAATGCGCGTGTTGGTTTAGGGTTTAGGGTTTAGCGTGAGAAACTCCATCAAACATGATCAGGGGATAGTTGAACACGATACCCTGAAGCCCTAACCCTACAAAACCTTCCACCGTAGACCCCCATAACGTCTTCGTCTTACTATGAATGATTACCTATGTCTCAAGTACGTCTAGAACCCTTCTTCAATCTTAGCATGACAACGTGCAAAACCCCAATCTACTTCTCTCCTGAGCCCTGGGCATGTCAGGAAAGCCATGAGGTAAGCTCATTGTAAGCAACAATGTGAGCATGAAAGACAGAAAACCATTACAGGTCCGAAATCATCTGCACCGACAATCCCAAAACAGCAACCCCGAAACCAGACCCAGATCCCCTAAACCCCTTAAGCCTAAACCCCATGACCCGAAGCTGAAACCCCCTCGCAGCCATCGTCCCAAGGAACCCTATTCTCACTATTCAGGACGACCTTCATTTTAGAACTCGTATGCTAGGACTCTTTTGTAGAAACCTGTTTTGAAGGACCACTATTGCACTTGTAGAACACTCTCGTCCCACCTACGGAGGCTCACAGCGGCCATCAGCGCGCCCAGCAAGTAGAGCTCGGTCGAGACAAGCGGCTCCATCTCCTCCACAGAGAAACGAGCCCCAGGGATCTGAATTCTTGAGGCGGCATAATTCTCTAGGATTTCGGTTATCGCCTCCAGGGACAAAGAACCGCAGAAAATTCAATTGGCAAGAGAGGGAAGAAGTGTTAGAGATGGGGGTGCACGTGGGATAAGACCAATCTTGCTAAAGTTCTTATCCTAAACCCTAAAGCCTGAACCCTAAGACCCAAAAACCCTGCTTCGGAGCTAGCTTCCCAAGTCAGGCGAGCTTTTCAGCACTGCGGGGATGCTTCTCCTATCCCGGCTCACATCTCCAAACTTCGATTTGGGGAGCCTATAAGCATCGTACCCCTTAGGCTCCATGGTAGTTCCTTTTCGGGATTACCTTATAGGACCCTAAGTATAAGCCACAACAAGGAACTACTATGGAGCCTCTATGTAGTTTAGGAGTGTAGGCTCTTGTCACAACTTACACTTTGCACTACGAAGTGGTGGCCGCTTCGTTAGTTCCTACATGACATGAGACAGGTGCTCGGGGTCGCGGCATCCGGTGGAGGAAATCTTAGAGTCCGCAGGCTTGCACTTGGGGACGTTTCAATGTTTCTCCCATTCTAAGCATTCCCTGCCTCTCAGACCCTCAAGCCCCTAGTATCCATGTCTCCTTTTTGTGGAAAGCCTGAAACCCTAAACACAACAGCCCATCTCACACCAATGAAACAGGAGTCAAGGACCACTGGAGCCAAATGCTTTCGAAGGACTTTGGGAGTCCGGCGTAAAGCCCTACAGCGGCTCTATAAACCCCTTAGCCCTGCATCCGAGGGCCCTGAAAACTACAGCAACAAAGGCTTCTAGAGGACGTATGCAGAAACACGTCGTGCGCGAACTTAAGGTTTCGACGCTGCATTTTAGACTCAAATCTCTGCGGCTTAAGTGCCATTGCCTCGAAGATTTTCGAAGCAGAAACTACTCCGGGACTGGATTGGAGTCGCTCAGAGCTCAGAATACAGGAAGCCTGTGGTTTCAGAGTTGGAGCATTCGGACTGATCTTTCCCGTTCTGGTGTTGTGTTACGGAACCTCTTATAAACGAAGTTCCAAAAATGGTGTAGGGTTCATATACCTTATAGGTATTCGTAGTATAATTGTCTAGGGCCCCTAATTTTGAGGGTCATCTGGTCTTCTTTGAAAAGAGGAGGGGGCGCGTGATGTCCTTCCCATGCCAGGTGCTGAGGACCAAAGCCGAGCCGAGACTGCTCATCATCTGCATTGCCAGGCAGCCGCAGGCGAGGATCCTCCACGATTTCCTTGACTCCAAGGGTAAAAGGAGGGACCCTTAATAAGGACCCCTAGGTATATACCCTTAATATAGCTATTATATACCCATTATATAGACCATTATAGGGTAGGGGTCCCCATTAAGGGTCCCTCCTTTTCCCGTTTGATTGACAGTATCGAGAAATCGCGGGCTGGATCCCACAAAGTGCTTTGGGGAACTCAGGTTGTGGGTAGATGGTTCAGGGTTAGGGCTTGAGGTTTTCCGGGGTTGGTACTGCTGTAGAACCAAGGAATACGTCTCAGCATGTTCAAAACCTTCAGCCCCAAGACCAGAACCCTAAACCCCAACACCTCAAACCCTAAGAACCCCAAACAAAACAAACCCCAATTAAACCCCCAAGCCGCCCTAATCCCCAACAGCTGAGGCTCCCTTCGTAGAAATCCAGGATGCCCACGCAGGAAAGCAGGAACCAACCAAGCCAAGGCAGCGCAGTTGCCTTGGGGAATGTTTGTTTTTCTTTATTTTTGGGGGGGGCCTCGTCTCTCTGAGAGAACCCCGTGGGGTAGACGAGGTGGGATGGTTGAGGGTTTAAAGTTCAGGATGTGCTTCAAGTCCATTGAAAGGGAATTAGTGATTTCAGTGTGAACGGCTCGTGTCCTGGAGACACCGACTATTCTGAAAAACGAACCAATCTCAATAGGAGAACAAGTCGTATGCTATGGGAAGGGAACATCCATCATCTCAATCTGTCCTGCTCTTCAAGGTCGAGAACAAGAAATTCTTATCCCGCCCGCAACCTGCGAGCCTACCCCAAGCCCGTTTAAACCGTGGAACATCCGAAACCTCCAACCACCTCGAACTCTAATCCCAAACCGACAAACCCTGAACCCGACAAACCAACGCTCAAACGCCGCCAAGTCCCTCAATCCTAACTCCATCATCATGAGCCCCAAAGCTAAATCCATGATCCTAGACCCTAAAGCCCACCAGAGAAACCGTTCGGAAAACAGAAGCCAAAACATGGTCTCTTGTTAAGGAACCTGGTTTAGGTTACCATGATGCGGATTGAATTTTCCCGACTAGGGCAACTTAATCGAAGTCCTTAGTCCTAAACACGAACTCAGAGAAAAAATGTGGAACCCTTTTAACATCCATGTAATGCCCCAGCAAACGCACTCATAACACCACCCGAATACCTTGCGACATCCTCATAAAAAATCACTCCCTTCTTGCAATAAACCCTAAACCCTAAACCCTATTCCGTTATTGCAGCTAAAGCCACGGCCCCTTCCGTGGTGATCGAAAGCCGCGAGGCGCGGAGGGCGACACTCACGCTGGCGTGAAGAGAAGAGGCGGCTCCTGAAGGTGCTTCGGACAAAAGAGGGGTGCGGTTTTGGACTTCAGGGCTTTGCGGATGTGGGGTTCAGGGCCTAAGCCGTTAAGCATGAAAACGAAACCCGTACCTGGACAGCATTCCTCGGTTGCCACTCGATGGGTCGACTGAGGAATTCTCAGCACCCAAACCCTGAAACCCCGAAACTCTGTGAAGCAAAGGTTCGGGGCGAAAGGTTTGCTGTAACAACACCTGCGCTTCTTTCTTGATGTTGCGTTAAAGCTGCTGTTTCTTCCGGTAGCCTCACGATCATCTGCATGTGCAGTGGTGGTATTAGAGACCCGAAACCCCAAGCCCTAAACCCCCTAGACCTTCACCTAAAGCCCCAAACCTCTGAAGCGGCTACTGTACCAAACTCCAGTAACAAGAGCAGTAATCATAACCCTTAACCCCAAACCCACTCCAAACCCTAGACCCTGAACCCTGAACAGTTTTATGTCATCTCCCAGGCCTCCAGGCGCTGTGATAGCTGCATTGTGGTCGGCTTGGAGCTCATCCAGCCTTTGGGCACGTTTTGGAGCTTCGGGTTGGAATTTGGGATGGGTTTGGGGGTTTTACCGACAAAGCCCGAATCCAACCCCAAACTCCTGAGATCCCTAAACCCCATTCTAAGCCCCTTAGATCCCTAGACCCTACAGAAACGCCTGAGATCCCTAACCCCAATTGCAAGCCCTTAAGATCCCCAAGTTCAGAAATTCTGATCAGCGCCGCCGAGCTGCGATTTCCTTCGGCAAAACCGGGCGTCGTTGCTCTCCACTGTCGCGAGCTTCGAGCGCCGGGACGGTGTTTCGGCTTCGCCATTCATCCTTCTCTGCAGGATAGGCATGGGCTATAGGCTACAGTATAGGGCTCCTTCTCTGCAGTTTAGGTTTCGGCTACAGTATAGAGTTTTAACTGAAGGTGAGTGCTTTATGGAAACTCTTCCAGGGCGTTGGGGCTTCGGCCTCCGGCTTCGATTCTTCGGTCTTTGGACGGTCATGTGGACTGGGAGTTCTGAGCTTCAGGAGTTCAACGTTGCTCATGAAAACCGAGTGTGGTTGGTGATTTGTAGTTTGGCCCAGCGGAAGCACAGGCGCAAGGATTCTGACCCCAGAGTCGTGCCCGGGCTGATTACGTCTGTTCAGAAACATGTGTACCTCCACAACGCTAACCCCATAATAACCTCCTGCTTGGTTGATCATGTGAACTGGTAAGGTATGAGTACCCAGACCTAGTTATAAGTAGCTATAACTATAGCCACCTTTACTATTTATAGCCCTATAACCACTAAGTCCCACGATCCTCCTATCCACTTCAGCTCAAGCGTCTGTTTCGGAGACACGGACGTCAAGGACGCGGAGGCTTGATAGCCGGCTTTCGCTCGCCGACCGCTCTCCGGAGATGAATCGAAGGAGCTAGGTTGGTGCAGGCCGATCGTATCCTCTTGGCGGAGGTTGAAACTTCTAGGTGTTCTGACGCTAGTTTTTTGGGTATATCAGACCGATGCCTGAGCAGAATAGGGTTATGGGGTATATTGCAATAGGGATTGCGATGCAAGTGTAAGGGGACTTCTGGAAGGGAAATGTGTTGCCAAGTCGTCAGACCCGCCCACATGTTATTACTGTTCAAAACCCTTGGACCCTCAGCTCTTCACCCTAAACCCTAAACCGCAAACCCTAGACCCCAAACCTTTAAATTTCAAATTTCAATGATTGAACCCCAAACCCCAAGCCTTAGCCCTTCACCCGTAAACGAAACCAGTAGACATCCGTGACTCCCGACCCTCAGCCCTACCCGCTAGAAGCGCCAGTTCGGGGTTTACGTTTTTTGTACGGGTTCGGGGTTCAAGACACGAGGCTTAGGGGTATATAAGGGTATAGGGTTTAGGGTTTAGAGCCAAGAAGGCCGAGGCGCGACTTCAGGCTGTTGATTTGGCTCCAGTGGCTCAACGTCTTCTTCCCCGATGGTCCCCGACTTCCGTCGCAGCTTCTGCTGCAGCTGCCGTGCCGTCTGTTCTTCAAGAACATCCATCCTAGGAAAGATTGGGGGGAGGCTTGGCTCTCGAATTTATCCGTAGGTCTATCGGGTGTTCTACGACATACACAATACCTGAATCTGCAAGAGTTCAAGACAACAGGCTTAAACTTCAAAGTTTGCACTTATGCCATGCTTAGCGCTTACATACTATAACTATAAAAAAACAGCTCAGCAACTTCGCAGCCTTTCAAGATCTATCCGAGCATCATCTTGTTCATGGAGGTAGTAATGGTCCCCGAGTTCGAGGAGAGGTGGGACCTCGTTCGATCCCCGAGCCGAGCTCGTACTTCCTTGGCGCCGGTGCTCGCGCCGGAGACCTTCCGACGAACTGGTCTCGAGGTCGAGCCCGGGTCTCCTCCTGAAGAGGAATCTGAGGCCTAAGTTTATAGGGTTTAGGTCTATAGGACTCAGGGTTAGGGTGTATGTAGGGGCCTTTTAGGGTCTGGGGTTCAGGGTTTTTGGGGTATAGGCTTCGAGCCCAGGCTTAAGACTTAGGGCTAGGGGTTAGAGTTTAGGTTCAGAGGGTTAGGGCCTAAGTTAGGGTGCCAGGTTCAGCGATTGGGTTGTTGGGCTTTTCGGATGAGGGTTTAGAGTCGCGGTCACCGCTTGGGATCCGATCCTTGCGCGGCTTGCTTTGACGACCAAGGCTTAGAGGTTGTTCCTTCTCTTTCAGTTCTATCAAATAAAACTGCACTGTCAGATTATGTCAGATTCTTCCATATTCCATGATGCTCTACAACTACACTAGAATATTGAACATACTGTATAGCACGCTCTGATATCATGAGCTACTCTTTCAGATTCAGCCCCGGGCGCCTCGAATCGAGTCCACTGAGCGCTCGATCCGGGTCAGCGCCTTTCGGAAATCCTGAATTTCCAGCAGCTGCTCCTCGGTTGTCGTTAAAGGAGCCTGTGTTATGTATAACGGGGGTTTCGGACTCGTTTTGAAGACAAGGGCATAGGGTCTAGGCTGTGTTAAGGAACTTTAGTTTAAGAGCTTAGGGTTTACGATGTTAAGGGGCCTTAGTTTAATGGGTTCAGTTTAAGTAGCCCATGACATGAGATAGCATAGTTGTTCACTAGTAGGAAAGTTAAGCTCTTGAGCTGTTACCCTACACCGCACAACATCCTATGTTAACGAAAAACCTATGAACACGCCATAAGTCCCCTGATTTAAACGAAACCCCAAACCCTAAACCCTAAACCCAAAGGAACTCTAAACACTAAACCTCCAGGAACCCAAAGGAACCCTAAACCCTAAACCCCAAAAAGGAACCCTATACCCTAAACCCCAAAAAGGAACCCTAATCCCTAAACCCCCAAAAAATGAACCCAAGGCTCTTGAATCTGCGTCACGGCCAGTCGGCGGGTCCTGGCTTAGGGTTTCAAGCATTTCGGGCTTGGAGTTTTAGGGTTTGGGGATTTAGGACTTTAGGGTTTAAGATGGTTTAAGGATTCATGGCTTCGAGGTTTTGGGGATCCTTAGGGCTCACGGCCTCTAGGGCTTTATAGGATCTTTAGGGTAGAAGTCCTGGCTCTCAGTCGAGCTATCCATGTCTGGTGACCTGGGATCTGGAGAAGAAGGGCTTTGGCACACGAGGGAATTTAAAGGGTTTAGGGGTTTGGGTGTTTGTGGTATCTAGACCTAAACCTACATCCCAAACCGGTACTCAACAATGAGGGTGATGTTAGGGTATGTCAGTTTAGCAGCCATAGTCAGGGCTCGGGGAGTCGGGTATTTAGGGTTTGGATTTTTCTCCAATCGCCAGGAGTATGTTTGGGTTTAGATTCAGGACTGAGAGTCGGAGCTTTCATGGGTTGAGGGCTCAGAGCTTCGGGTTGTGAATCCCCCAACAAGGAGGCCTCGGCGGGCTTCACCTAGGTACTACAACACAAAAACGGTGCCATCAAACCCTACATACACTGCCTACGCTCTCCCTAACCGTCGTGCGCACAAGCTCCATCGTTTGAAAGCCAAAGGTTCAAAGCACCTGAATCCTGTAAACCGAAGGCCCTGAACCCTCAAACCGGACTGCTCTGGAACATTGCAGATCGATGGAGTTTCCGAAAATTTGGGGTACCTTATTTGGGGTTCCTTATGATATGGATCCTACTATTTAGGGTACTATATTAGGGTCCCCTATTTTCGGAAACTCCCATTTCTAGATCTGTGGCAATCTGAAGTCCAACACCTCCAATCCGAGCTTAGCAGACTCACCAGGCAGTTGAACTCCTCCGCGCCAAGCTCCCGTCAAACCTTCAAAGCCATGATTTCTCTTAACCCGACACAACCCCACAGCAAATCCTGACACTTACCCCTAAACCGTACCCTGAAGCCCCCACCAAAACCCCCAAACCCCTAAACCCCAGACCTTTATAGAACCCTGCTAGATCCCTCAAAATGGAGCCCCCAAACACAACGCCTGAACCTTGGGTACGGCCCCCACTCAGTAACAGTTGGATAATATTCATAATATAGACATATGAGGCCCTTAATAGTAGCCCTACTATAGACTGTTACTGTATGGGGGCCGTACCCAACCTGAACCCTTCAACCCAAGTGGCTGGTGCTCGCTGAGGAGACCGCGCCTGGTTCGATGGAGCACTCGGGGATCTGAGCCAAAAACTGCGCGCAGGAGGGCTCGGGGTTTAGATTTTGCAGCTTATACTTTGGGTGCGGCCCCCACTCAGTAAAAGTTGAGCAATATTCGAAATATAGTTATATTAGGACCTTAATAGTAGCCCTAGTATAGACTCTTACTGTATGGGGGCAGTACCTAACTTATACTGTTTAGGGCTCATGGCTTCTAGGCTTTAGGATTCTACTTTCGGGCTTTTCGGCTGAGGGATTAGGGCGGAGGGATCCTGGGTTTCGGGTTGTAGGGGCATTCTATACCCCTTTCGGGTCCAGGAACAGGGGTTCGGAGTTCAAGGTTTAGAAATTTCAGGTCAGTCTCTGCCAGTTTAGCTAGGACTGAAACGAAATGGCACTCAGGCAAACTTTGGACCACTGCGCTTCAGGCGGGAAAGTGTCGCATGCACAACAACGCAAAACCGACAACCCTGAACTTCGAACCAACTTGCATGTGCGACTTGGACCCCACGAGCACACCCTGAACCCTTCGCCACTTCATAACTTCACTTGACCACTTCGTAGGTTGCCAGCAGGAGCCTGATGATGATTATCTATCTTATGTGTCCTGATGACTTCACGATGCTATCGCAACGATAGGAAGGAGAACACGCCCTCAAATCCGGGGCTTGCGGCATGAAAATCGGTCGCGCAACGTTTTCACGGAGGCCCCCAGATGCGCTGAAACCACGTAACTATAAGCAATATCATATGGCTTATGATACCTGCTAAGAAATCCGCAACATTGTTTCAATCTATGCACTGCATGATATCTTTGAGAAAATGGAGGATCCAAAGAACTGATACCAGTAGAAGCCCACACAAAGCAAACAAAAACCAACACGGCAAATCCCCCAACTCTTGAACCCCAAACCCCAAACGCTAAATGTTGTTTGTGTAATTCTTGTAACAATCCTTATAGACCCCTGTAAAAGGAGCCCTTAAAAGGAACCCTATCATTAAGGCCTCCATATTAGCTTTGTCGTCTCCGGGCCATGGACAGCACCTCAGATCACCACTCTCCACTTCGAGCCTGAGACGAATTAAGGGCTTTTCGGGCCCTCCGGGGCCTGGGATAGGGATCCTTTAGGGCTTCTTTTAAAGGGTTCTTAAAAGGATCTAGATACTAGAGTAGGGTTCCTTTAAAAGGTTCCTTTTAACGGGGTTCCTTTTAAAGACGTCTAGAGTAGGGCCCCTTAAAAGGTGTATGTAAGGGTTCTACAACGAGAGTCGATAGGGATGCTTACAGGGGGTTCTTCCAAAAAAGGGGTATGCAAGGGCTCTTTCATGAGAGTTTTGCAGTATAGGGGCCTCAATAATGAGACATGGGACTTGAGTTTATCAGAGAATTCATAAACAGAAACCCAAAGGACTAGCTACAAGACTTGAGGGTTTAGGCAGGGTGACGGGTTTAGGGTCGAGTTGTACCAAGTCGATTTAGGGTTAAGTTCTTCAAGTAGGGATACAGAAGGTTGGGCAGGGTCAGATCGCAAAACCCCAACGCCACAAACTCCAAATGATATCAACCTGTATAAAACACAGAAGCAACAAGCTGAACAACTCGGAAGATGGAGTCCTCGGCAGTGTCAGTTCCCAGGAACTAGGTAGGGTAGAGCCAAGATAACCCATGATAACCCTGCGCAGGATCCTCACAAGGAGTCTGATTACTTGCGGAATCTCTTAGCAAGTAGCGCGAGTGCAGCGCAGCTGCGAACATACAAGCTTTTTTTTGTATCGTCAGCGAGGTCCCGTTCCAGGCTTCGGCCGTCCCGTTTTCTGGCAAAGACCTGCAAAAATCACAAAACGATGTACAGGGAGTACTGGGCTTGCTCGGCAAGGATGCTCCTGTGAAACTCTCCTTCGCCGGCAAGATCTGGGTGCCATCAGAGCGATACCAGTAGGGTAACGACGAAAAGGCATTACACCTGCCAGCTGCTAGACAATCGCCACGACTTAAGTCGCCCTTCTGATGCCACCCAAGCGCTTGCTTACAGAGCCGGCCAAGGTTTTGTGGGGCATGGTAGCAACGATGACAACCTACATGACTTTGCGCATCGAGTCATGTCAGTTAAGGCTGTGATTATAGTCGGCTTTCGTTTGGCTCCGACCTTCAGAACGGTTGTAGGTGTCATTGTCCAGTCGCCATCGAACATGTTCTTGGCATGTACCCGTGATTTATCACTAACAGTCAGTGCTCTAACGAGATCCCCTCCCTTCTTACGATTATCGATCATTGCAACCATTGGCACTACCGTCACCCTTGCAAATGCCACAAGACTGGTCAGTATCATAATCATGGTGAATCACTACCATTATCATCAAACCCTAACCCTAAACCCTTAAACCCTGAACACCATCGTTGCCCCTGCCTTGGTCTTCATAACTATCGCAATCATTATTTGTACAAGGTCCATCCTTGCCAAGCCTGGCATCAGATCACTGCGCTGTGTCGACTCAAACTGCTCCCCCCTTAAGGAACCCCGCACATATGGTCACCCGGTTATAACCCTTACCGTGACCCTTTCAGTACTCCTTGCTTTGACTCAGACTGCTCACCCTCCCGGCATGGTCGGCATGCAAGCAATAGGGCGTGCGGGAATCCCCTCCAAGCTCGTTAAGCCGTCATATTGGCACACGAAGATCACCCTCTGGTTGGTGTAGATGTAGGCCGCGTAGCACTCAGGGGCACCGTGACCCCCCAAGAAAGACCATCCCTCCATGTAGGATCCGGCCTCATCTCCACATTTCTACTGCCTTGACTACAGCTGTAATTAAAAGAGCTCATAATCTGACTCAAAAATGAAAGCCCCTTTACTGCACGTCTTAGGATGCATGGCTCTTCTGATAGGACGCCTAAATCCTTAAACCCTAAACCCTAAACGCCGGCCTCATAGGGAGTGAGCACCTTCCCGCGTCGGTGCTCGGGAATCCGGAGCGCTTCGTCGACTTCCTCGTAGTTTCCCCATCCCCAGTCACCGAAGACGATGGCTTCGACTTCCTCGTCGTCCTCCAAGAAGGGTTCAGGGTCTAAGGAGGTTTGGCATTTAGGGTTGAGGGTGTATAGCGGCTTTAAGCTCCCGGCTCGAGGCTGGGGGTTGAGGGCGGTTGAGGGGGGTTGAAGTCTGAAGGGAGTTGGGGGGGTTGGGGGGGCGGGCGGGGTTGGGGGGATGGGGGTCGCGACTCCCGGTCCTCCAGGAAGTTGAGTAGGTCCTTCATGCCACTTTTCTGGTCCTCTCCCCAGGTCATCTTCTCATGAACCAAGAGGAGGTCGGAGCCTTCTCCCACACCTGCATCTGCAAAAGTCTGTGAGTCCTCAAGTAGCGTGTCCTGGAAGGTAAGGTTGGCCTTCGTCCCGAAGGGAACGCCGAGCTTGCACTTCAGCCCGAGGATTCGGCCCTTCGACTCCACTTCGTGCGCCGTCTTCTCCCCAGCCATACTCACCACGTTGATCTTCAGAGTTTCTTGTAACCCCAAGGCAACAGAAAGTGGGGAGCTGGGACTCAATCCGTGCTTCTCGAAATGAGGCTCCAGGTTCCGCAAAGTTTGTAAGCCGGGCTCCGGCACTAGGCCCTTCTCAATGGCTTTAGCTAAAGCCACGCACACGGACTCGAAAGAGCACTCGACAAACTCACCGCCAAGGATTTCCTTCACCTCTGCCTCGCACTTCTTCGCCTCTTCGGCTCCGAACGCGCTGTTGAGCACGCCTGCCCAGGGCCCCAAAGCCCAAACCCCAAAACAAGCGATCGAAAACTGAACTAGATATGAAAGGAACTCGGGACCCACCCCCCACCCCCGGCCTGCGGCGCACTTGAAAAGCTTCCGCACCGCAGCCGCATCCATGAGGCTCTCTGCGCTCCCTCGCGCGCGCGCGTGCGCACGTGAGTGCGAGCACGCGAAGGCCCTGGTAGGCTGGAGCCCAAGGCCCTGATGAAGGTGACGGATTGCTGTGTGTTAAGAGTCTATACTGCTTGAAAGGCAAGAACAGTTTTGGGCTTCCGGCCTAAGGTTTTGAGCTTTTCAGTACTTAGAGGGCAAAGTATGGCGCGGTTTGGAGCTTACCGTTTTTTTAGCAGTGATGTGATCGCGTCATGCCATGTACAACACATGCTGCCACACTGGCAAGGCATCGACGATACTATGGCATAATAAGATGACAGAGAGCACTTCGAGGACCAAAGTGATTGCTCCAAGAAAGAACCGAAAAACAAGAGCGTATTGTCAAGCACCAGAAAAGAGCAACGATAGAATCACAAGCCTAGCACACAGCCAGCAGCAGGCCCTCAACTCGGAAACCTTAAGCCTCAATGCGATTCTGAAATCACTGACGTAGAAATCAACCTCGCAGGCTCGCACTCGCCATCTCTCAATTGAAGGTCTGAGGCGTTCCAAGGGCACGGCAGAAGAGTGCAGAGCTGCTTTGTTAGTGGCACAGCCAGCCGGCAACGGAGGAACAGCCTCAGCAACTCAATCTTGTTGCCCGACGAAGCACACCGAATCCACACCCACACCCACCCACCCAGACGCACACACGCGCACACGCACACACACACCCGCACACACACACACACACACACACACACACGCGCACACACAGACACACACACACACACACACACACACACACACACACACACACACACACACACACACACGCGCGCGCACACACACACACGCACACACACGCACACACGCACCCACCTCCACCCCCGCCCCCCACCACCCCACCCACACCCACACCCACCCCCACCCCCACCCCCACCCCCACCCCCACCCCCACCCCCACCCCCACCCCCACCCCCCCACCCCACCCCCACCCCCACCCCCCACCCCCACCCCACCCCCACCCCACCACCCCCACCCCCACCCCCACCACCCCCCCCCCCCACCACCCCCCACCCCCACCCCCACCCCCACCCCCACCCCCACCCCCACCCCCCACCCCCACCCCCACACACCCACCCCCACACACCCACACCCACACCCACACCCACACACACACCCACACCCACACCCACACATCCCACACCCACACACACACACCCACACCCACACATCCCACACCCACACACACACCCACACACACACACCCACACCCACACATCCCACACCCACACACACACACACACCCACACCCACACATCCCACACCCACACACACACACACAGAGACACACACACACACACGTCCAGAACTGGTTGAGCAATAGTCCCCCATCGAAGCAGACTCAGACTCGAGGCTTCCAATCGGGAGCTTGCGCATTCACACTGAGTACAGAGAAACGAGGAACATCACTTCGGCAGCGTAAGCAAGTTCATCTTCGATGCACCCATGACAGTTCCGCAAAGTCTTGCACTCAGCGTGACCGATCGACAGACCATTGATGGCTCTGACTTTGTCTAAGAGGAACAAGTACCTGCAAATTTGCCCAATCGGTTGCATGGTGCACAAGTTGCTGGCCTGCCAATTCCTCAGGTTACGAGCTTGGTAGTTCGACTTTTGTCCTCTTCGCTTTCCGTTTCTGGGATGCACAGCTGGAATACGAGGCGCAGAGCCTTTGTGCTACTCGGCTCTGCTTTTTCTAGAATCGCTGATCTTTGTCGATTCTTGATATGGGTCCATATAAGGACGTCACCTTTGTACGTCGGCATAATTGCATTGCTTTCAGAAGCATCTGTCTGAGAGCATTTCATGAATGCCGCAAGCACACTAAGCAACCGTACAAGAACTAATATTCAATGCACTTGGATAGCGAGATTATGGGGCTTGCCAGCTTCTCACGGCTTGTCCCATCTGGACTCGCCTGTCGTCCTGTTGTGGTAAAAGAGATTTCCAGTGTCGGGGTCCACGTGCTCATCCCAGTCGGGCGAAAGGGGCCTGTCCCATCTAGACTCCCCTGTCGTCTTGTTGTAGTAAAAGACATTTCCCGTGGATGGATCCACGTGCTCGTCCCAGTCGGGCGAAAGGACTCGAAAACTTGACGGCTCTTCAGCAGGAAGGCTTCCAACGGAGCCTGATGCTTCCGCAGTGGGCTTTTCCCATGTGGACTCCCCTGTCGTCGTGTTGTGGTAAAAGACATGTCCTGTGGATGGATCCACGTGCTCATCCCAGTCCGTCGGAAGGACTCGAAGACTTGACGGCTCTTCGGCAGGAAGGCTTCCAACAGAGCTTGATGCTTCTGGAGCGGGCTTGTCCCATCTGGACTCGCCTGTCGTCCTGCTGTAGTAAAAGAGATTTCCAGAGGCCGGGTCCACGTGCTCCTCCCAAACGTGCAGATCATGATAGCTTGATGTATTGACACAACTCCTACCCTTGAGTTCCTGGCCTGCGGCACTGTATCCTTCTGCTCCGTGCTCGGCGCCTCTCCAGGGCTGAGACTATGGATGCTGCATGGTGTGCGTTGCCAGCTCGGTAAAGCAAAACTCTGTCTCGGCAGCATCGAAGACTATAAAACTCACACATTCTGCGCTGCTTTCGGCAAGGATACCCCGTATGAACAAGTGGGCAGCAATGGCATTCCCACGGTGCGCGAGGTGGCTGATAGATTTCGCTGCGATGAGGCTGTGAGCCTTCAGGTCCCGCTCCCCAAAATCCAGCAATCCAAAGCCCTAAACACCGAAGCCCAAAAATCCACATCTCCAGCCGGCCTCTGCTCCCCTCACCGTCGAGCGAGCGCCTTGCAGCGCCTGTGAAGTAGCGATTCTTTGAAAGGCGGTTCATCAACGCAATAGGGTTGCAGGGCTTCGGCTCAGAGTTTAGGTGCCGGTAGCAGTCTTCTTAATCTTTAAACAAGTCTCGGAACACCGTTGCAGGCCAAACCGAAGCTCAAGATCGATCACTATGCACAGGGGTCTTTTGGAACACAGTCTCAAAAGTGGTGTGGTTTATTGCGCTGCCGGCCTGTTTGCACGGTCAAACTCCCGTGAAGAAGCCTGCATGTAACCAGCTAGATCAAGCCTTTAAGACGCGACTGAACCTGACAACAAGATCATCAAGCCACGGGCCGCGGGATTCTTTAGTAAGTCTCCAATCACATTCGGGAACGTGGTTTGGCGCAATGCCTCCCTAAGCTTGACATCGCACACATTCCACGTCCAAAGACTGGAAATGGGCATTGCGTAATCCCCCCCTACCAGTACCGCCGAGTCGCACTCACTACTCGGCCGTTTCGGATGAAAGTCCTACGCCCATGAATCCCAACGATCAACAACACCAGCCATGAGATTCAAGAGCCTCACGAACTGCCAAGGAAGTCAAGCAGAATCACAAGCAATCAAGCCCACCTGCAAAGGTCTTCCTGCAGGCATGCTCAGATGCCTCACTCCAGGGGTGGCACACGGATAAGCTGTAGCCAGAGAGGTCTCAGGATGTCTCAGGAAAGGCTTACCGCAAAATACAAAGGAAAAGGAGAACACGCACAGAAATGTCTCAATTTGTCTTGGGTGCAATTGCCGATCTGGCCGGGCTGACTGACCTGGCGGTGGCGACGAGAGAAACCCAAGTGTCGCGCGAAGCCGGGAATGCCTCGCTCGAGTCGTTTAGTCCTTGTCGCTTGACATTTCGCAATCCTACCGCTGTCTTTCTGCCAACCTCCACCAGAATTGGATGCGAGCCTACTTTTCTTGCCGGGGTTACCAGGTAAAATTGAACTTTGACTTTCAATAACTTCAGGTGGAAAGTCTCGTTTATTCAGGACGGGGTTCGCTCCGTGGCTCCGTGCTCGTTCTCGTGTTGCTTGCCGCTCGCATTGCTTTGAGATCCCTTTTTTGGGACCCTATACTACTAAAGGGTATTTTAAACGGAACCCCCATTAAGGGATCTACTTTTTGGATCCTCCCGAATGCGGCTGGTAATGCGACAATGTCAGCGACACCGTCCCACCAGCCTGTCTCGCTCGCAGCGGCGATGTCTGCAAAGCTTCCATCCGTGTCCCAGTCGGCTAGCCCGAGACACCTGCACAGATTGTGGAAGGGCTATGATTCAGCTCCCAGTCAAGCCTGTCGGAAATCACTTCGAAACCAACTTGTGCAGCGAAGCTGTCTCTGTAACCTGAAACAATAGGACAATGAGACAATGGTACAAGTCCTGGACTCCTGACCAGGATCTGTGCCTCGACTTGAGTAGCTCCGCATGCGTCTCCAGGCCGGCGACAACCTGGAAGGCTTCCAGCGGCGTTGCCTCATCAGAAGCCCTCTCTGTTTGAAGCTCGTCAGTCGGTGTTGGGGATGCACGCCCGAAAGAAAAACCTCATGAAAGCTTCAATTGAAGGCGGCATGGTGGCAGAGAATCCGCCTGAGAGAATATGGGCTAACGCCATGTTGAGCATAGGAGCCTTGAGATCCTCCGAAAGCACGGCGATTGCGTCCGTCCGCTTCGGAAGCAGCGAGCCCTGTGCTATGCTTGACAGCGTTCAGGGGCAACTGCAGACTCGGGTTCAGGGTTTGAGGAACCGCAGCCCACAGCCGCAGTCAACCGATACACACCGGCCTCGAAGATGGCAGTTGGATACGGCACCGGCGCAAATTTGATGGGAACTTTGGCATGATGCTTCAGCAGCGCGCCGATGGCCTGTGCTCCGGGAATTGCCGCGCTCCCGCCAGATAGCGCCAGAAGCGGGAGAAGCAAAGGACAGAGTTGTTTCGGGAACGGTTGTGTTTAACCTTTGCTGGGGCTGAAGCTATCGAGGAACTCCAATTTACTGGGTGAGAATAGTGGTAGCGGTTGTAGGTTGCCAAATAGTTGTAGCAGCAGTAGGACAGGTGGTAGAGTGGTAGGTCGGTGTAGTGTGGTAGTACTGATCATACCTGATCCAACTAGTCGTAAGACTAGTGCCTCAGTAGCAGCACTGTAATACTAACACGGAAGGGATAATCGGCAGAAATCTCGAGCAACCCAAGATTAAAATCCCTACGCGTAACTCTGGTTGCACTGCCCCCTGTTACTTCTACAGAGGGGGGTCGGGATTGTAGAATGGAGGGGGTCTGCTGACACAGGCTCGGAAATGTTCTTTCGATGGCTTCGTTCTGCCTCTGGACATCGGGGTTGACGCTGCCGCACGCACACAGACAGACAGACAGACAGACGCACTCTCTCTCACACACACACATTGGGGGAAGGTTCGAAGAACGATTGTAGCCCTACCACAGCATCACAGTGTTTCCTGTTCTGTCGGTAGCTCTGCTTGAGGGTCGCAGGACTTAGTAAGCCGCCGCAAGTGGGAAACAATGCAGAAAAGAGGTAGAGTTACCTGCATTGGGGTTCTCCAATTTCGAACCGCGCGAAGACTGCTTACTAAATTCTTGGACCCTCCTAGCTGGCTTTGTAGACGACAGCTTTCCTTGTGTTCGGTAACTCCTGTGCAACACATTACAGCTCGGTTCCCAGGGCAAGCGCTGTAGGAATCGCCACTAGAACGACTCAGGCCAGGCGGGACATGACTAACAACAGCTTAGAAGGCGTCATCTGGGGTTACACTGGTTTTCAATGTTGGAAGCATGACGGGATTGATCTCATGGCCCCGGTCAACTCGCAAAACGAAAGCTTTCTTGCAATGCCATCCTGCTCAGGTGTGAGCAGTTCAGCTTCAGAAGTTTGCCGTACGCACCTGCTCCTGCACGCTGAAATCGCCCAAGAGGAGCGTTGGGATCTGGGCATCATCGTGGAGCCTGGAGGTCGGCACGCTAGTTTGTGAGTGAGTATCAAAATCGTGACAACATGCAGCCCTGCTGTTGGGCACAAGGCCTTCGGACGCACTCGCAAAGCTCACGACAGGCATGACGGAAAGGCTCCGCTGGAAGATGCCTGGGCAGCTTCTGGACTCAAAGGCTATCTGGACCCTAAGAGGCTTACATAAAGAGGTCCGCGCCGACTCCTGCGTCTCACATCGTCTGACCAAACCCTGTCTAGCCTGGCCTTTCAAGTACGCAAGACTCCAAAGTTCAGGATCGGGGGCTCTCATCGGGCCGTCAGTCGACAGATAAAGACGTGACGGCATTTATTATAAGATTTGATTCTCAGTTCGGACAGCGACCAAGCGGCGCTGTTATAATTCGAAGCTGACGAGCTCCCTTCTTGAGCAAGAACTGCGCCACTGTCACAGCCTCGCGGCCAAGCTTCACTGACAGTCGGTCGGCGGAGTCTGCGGTATTAGTACAGCTGCAGTTGCTTTCGAGGTCTTGTTGGCATCTTCTTACAGTTCCAGCTCCAACCCGCAGCACTGGGCACAATCTTGCTGGTCTCAAGCTCTGAAGAAACATGAAACGCCTTTGCCCGGAAATCTGGTGAAAAGCTCTTCTCCACCAAGTGCTCTTTGTCGTAGATGATGGCCTGGCAGGCACGACAGGAATGTCTTGTAGCAGCACAACCCCGGAACAAGCTCAGAACAACGGACATAAACATCGACAAATGTGTTGAGAAGTTCCCGCCTGCTGATTGTCTGGCTCTGCATCACTCCCAGTTCGTAGTACCCCAAAGGACTCCCACATTTGCGTAAACTCGTGACGAACTTGCTCTAGCAGCTCTTGCCAGCATCCTTGGAGGCAGAGCACGTGCTTGCGACTTTTCGAGTCCCGGAGCATTGCAATAATCAATCCAACGATGCTTTGTTGATGTCCTTCATGGCTCCGGGAACTGATGCGAGAGCTGCTCAAGCTTTGCAGATGCCATGAGCATACACGGATGGATTCAACTTCGGCCCCAATCGGCAAGTGGCCCGAGGGAAACTCCCAATGCTCATGGAGAGATCGAGTGAGTTGCGTCCTGAAGCTTCCCAGCCACTGGTTCAAAGCAAACTCCACGCATCCTTCCAGAAGATCCTGTCCCTCTTTCAGCTTCCGCTCCAGCTGGCCACCATCAGCTGATCCTTGCGACAAGCACCCCATGAGATGCTCGAGGGTCTCCAGAACTTCGGCTGCTGCCGCCGGCTCCCAGCTCCGCTCCGAGTCAGACTCCGGCGTATCGGCTTTGATCCCTTGCATCTGGTTCCTCATGCACTCGAGGCTGTCGCCTCAGGTGCCGACTGCAGCTTACGGAGAGAAACCTTGGCCCCTTCTGACCTGCTTTGAGCAAGTCAAGCTACCGGAAGGCTGAGGCCCCGGCCGAACACCTTCAGGTCGGAGAGAACTGGCTCCTTGAACCCCTTCTCCAGCATTGCGTGCAAAGTCTCAGCATGGGCCGCGATCTGGGCCAGCTCCGCCACCCAGTGGCCAAATATTGGCTGAAGAGCCTTGAGCATGACGAGGGAATCGCTGACAGCCATGTTGCGCTGCGCCAAATATGCTGCCCTTTCCCACAGGCGCTTCACCTGAACAAAGCAGCATAGCATGAAATAAAAGGTGTTGGATTGTTGCTGTCTGACACCTGACACAGAAACCCGACCTTTCGGTGCGGCACCTGTCATGACCTAGCATGCTAGCCTGAGCCTTGCCTTGCATCATTGCGCAGTTCAAGCTGACCAAGAATTCGGCGACACTCTCCAAGTCTAAGGGTCTGACGAACTTCATTGCCTTGGGAGTTGCACCGGAATAGCTGTATGAGCATGCATCTAGGACCTCAAGGAAGTCGTACTCCTCTGTAACAGGAATTACTTGGCCGTTGCTCACATGCCCGAAGCGGATCACATTCGTGACCTCGAAAAAGCGCGATGCCGACGGTTGATCGCTGAACAAGCTGACTTTTGCAAAGACTGTGATGAAAGCTGTCCGGGACTTGTTTCCATGTTCAAGAGCCTTGTCAAAGAGGATCGTTTCTTGACGACTGCCGACTGCACAAACTTTCTTGCCCTTCAATAGCTCGTCCGTGCTCCATGTTAGGACCTTCCCTGACTTCGCTGGACACTTCCCGGCTTTCAACCCACCCCAATAGATGTTTGCTTCTTGCTCACACCGCTCAACAACGCGTTTCAGCCACCGGGCAAGGCAGCTCAGTGCGGCGTTTCGGTCCTTTTCCACACTCACCACGTACTCCTCCATATCAACATCACACGGATAGTGCATGGCGCAAAAGCGGAAGCTTCCTGCAGGCCGGACGTCGCTAAGCACGCAGACACGGCGTACAACGCTGGCCAGATCCAAGCTGAGGTTAGGCAAAAAGCGCTGCTTCAGGAAACCGACATCTGACATCAGCCGTCCAGCCAGCAACAGCTCGGGGTCGACTGGAGTCGTTTCACTGGAAGTGACCAGTTTGCTTCTCGTTCGCTGCTCAATGCCAAGACAGTCCAGGAAGAGGTCAGTAATGCGGTTCACCTCGGCTTCTGCATCCTCTTCGGACAAAGTTGCGGACGATGGTGATGTCACGCGGATTCGAAGTAGCTGAAAGCCGTCCGCAGGTGAAAGAGACAAACTGATCAGTGCCGTATCCGAGCTCAGCTCCACATGGTTTCGGAACAGCTGAGGAGGACCCGGGCTCAACTTCTGCGATCCACGCTCGCTCTTACATATCCTGTCTGCTGTTTGTGACAAGATAGTTGGTGTAACCAGGCCTCCCAGACTGAGGTAACGGACTTTGCAAGCTTCTCGTGCTGATTCTGGCACAATTGCCGCAGGTAGGCAGCAAGGTACGATAAAATCGTCCTTGAAGGCACGCTTCAGTATCAGCCCCTTCTGCTCCATAATCTGTAGCAAGATGTTGCTCATTCCGTCCTCCTTTCTCCTGTCTTCTCCCTTGCCTTGCCCGAAGTCCTGTGCCCACAGCTCCTGAAGGAACTTTCGATTCACCAGCCCCTCGGTGTTCAAGCGGCGAATGCCGGCGGTCTGTTTTGACAGGCATGCAAGCAGCTCCTTTTTGTAGGCTTCTGAGTGCTCGAGCCGCTTCTCAGCCCAGAAGCGCACGCTGATGATCCGCGTCAATGCCACCGCCACCCTTTGGACTGCTAATAGCACGTTCTCTCTCAGCCCTTCCTCGGGAAACCAGAACAGGGTGCCCAGGCTGTGCAGCAAGCTCAACACCTTGAACACCTCTTCACCCACGATTGGCCTGGGTTTCAAGCCGGCCAAAATCCTCTTCACCTGCGATAATGCAAGCGACGTGCATGAGACCTTCACGAGAAGATCCTTGCCGCTCTCGGCACTTCCCAGGACTTGGACAAGTGCACCCTCTGGAACCAGGATCTTCTCGCCGTTGCGGGTCTTCATGGACTGGTCGGACTTCAGGTTGAAACAGTGGTTTGGCCCTTTTACTGCTGACGGTAGCTGCGTCCATGGGACCGCGAGGTCCATGCCATCTCCAAGGCCGGTGAGGAGGTCATGAGCCCTGCACCAAGACGCATGGTATGTTCGTGACTGCAGACCAGCATGTGGCTTTCGGTTCACAGTGTCATGCTTCGCAGGCAGAAGCAGCTCTGCAGCCAGCTCGTTCAGCCTCTCACGGAGCGGGCTGATGTAGCTCTCCACATTGTCAGCAAAGTTTTCAATTGGGAAAACCCATTTGGAGTGACATGAACTGGACGGGCCAGGTCCCATCTGCAGCTGACTTTTCAGTCTTGGTACGTACTCTCTGAAAGTTTCCACACGCCAGTCTAAATATTGCTCGTCCAGCTGCTTGTTGCACCATTTCGTGCCAACCAGTACAACCGGAGGAGCCGAATCGGTGTCGTTTGCAGTCTTACCGTTATCGAAAGCATACTGGGCTACAGCCCAGAGCCAAAAGCGCAGCTCGTGCCAGGCCTCTTCCAGTGGCAGGCTGACATCAACGAATACTAGGTAAATGCCTCGGCCGTGGAAATAAAGCAGATTACACTGAGCATAGTCGGCTTGCCCAGGGAAGTCCCAGCATTGTAGCCTCGGCCGTGAGGGCTCGTCCTTGAAGTCAGCATTGCTCATCTCCAAGAAGAGCTCGTTATCCATAAGTCTGGGGCCCAGGGACTCCTCTTCCTTCTGCTGGGCAGCCTGCTAACAGCCAGCTCGCAGCCCAAGCTTCTCACGCTCTCGCTCGTCTCTACTCTCCAGGCTCAAGTGTCTGCCCTTCACCCTCTCTCTCTCTCTCTTCGGGCTCGGCCTCGTTGGTCCGATCTCGACGAAGCGATTCGTTCGGCTCGGTCTCGTCCGCTTGCAGGGGTGCGTCCTGCTCCTGGCAGCTAGCAGTTCGCCCTGCCCACCCGCTCACTCTTTCCTCTTTGCTTTGTTTTGCCGGCCCTCCCGCTCTTTGTCTCCTCTCTGTCTCTGTCTCTGTCTCTGTCTGCTCTGTCGCTCCCCCCTCTTAGCTAAGCACGAAGGTGGACATGTGACAGTCCTTTGGTAGGTCTGCTGATGCAGCTGTATCTTCTGCAGATGGCGACGTGTCGCGCCGCTCAACCTGTTGGTGGCCAGGCCTTGCCTCAATCGATGCCTTCTGTTTTTGACCTCGGGCTTGCTCTAGTTGCCGCTCTTCATGACGCTTCCTCTTTCGCATGGCATCGACCGCGCTAGCATCGAAAGAACTCTTCCCACATGTCTGCCACGCAGAAGAGAGATCACGCTGCGCCTGTCCAGACCAAAGCTCCACTCCGTGTGTGGAAACTTCTTTGCCTTCCTGCACCGGTTCTCCACTCAGTCGCCTGCCAAGCATCGCGGGTTCTTCCAATGTGCTTTTACAAACATACCAGCACAAGAAGATGAACAAATCTGCACGTCTGGAAACCTGCTGCTTAATCATCAACGCTGGTGTGGTGCTCTCCAACATATCTCCATGCAGCCCGAAGCTGGAGAGCGATGCAGAAAGGGGCCGAGGGAGAGACAGAAAGAGGGAGAAGAAACACCTTACATGAGGCACTTGTTTTGTCAATCGGCATGTCCTACCTCAGTGTTGTAGTCTTGCCGGCACGGCCCTGCCCCACGAAGCAGAGCTGCACCACGGGAAGCGGAGCAAAGCCGCTGCGCTGCCAGTCGTCGAAATGCATTTTGAACTCCTGACTAAATATACATGTTGATGAAACACAAGTGGGGTTCACGTGCATTCGATGCAGAACGGATGTCGAGTTTGATGGCTGCTTGAGGTTGGAGAGTTTTTGTTGCCCTTTATGTTTTTTTTCTGTGGCCCCTTCTTTTTTTTGGTGGTGGGAGCGGGGAGAGGGTTCTCTGTGTTTCCAAACAAACCCGACAAGAACCTCTATTTTCGCTGGTTTCCTATACTTTCATAGCAAACGCCTCCATTCTCGGTGTCAAGCAACCAGATTTCGAGGTCACTTGACCACCGGATTCAACTTCAGGGTTCAGGCGTAAGCTTCAAACCTCGTCGGATTCATCCTATATCTTGAACACACCCCTCCGTTTGGCGATTCCGGCACCTCATATATGTTAAACACGCCCCCTCGTTTGGCGATTCCGTTCATCATATATCTTAAACATGCCCCCTCATTTGGCGATCCCGGTTCATAATATATCTTACACACGCCCTCTCATTGGCGATTCCGGTTCATCATAGCTTAAACACGCCCCCATTGGCGATTCCGGTTCATCATAGCTTAAACACGGCGCCTCATTTGGCGATTCCAGTTCATAATATATCCTACACACGCCCTCTCATTTGGCAATTCCGGTTCCTCATCTACCTTAACAACGAGCCCTCGTTTGGCGATTCCGATTCATCCTATATCTTAAACACCCCCCCTAATTGGCGATTCCCGTTCATTATATCTACAACATGCCGCCTCATTTGGCGATTGTTCATCATATCCCCCCATTTGGCGATTACAGTCCATCATACATCTTAAACCTCCGTAGCGAAACGCTGACGCGGGCTATTGCCGCATCGGGGTTTGGGTGAAACAGTTTAAACTGTACGACCTTACGCGGTCACACTTTTCAGTGCTGAACCAAAAGGCGCTGCACGGTCACAACTATACACGCATGATTCCATGCCGTAGCCTTGGGCTCTCTGCGGAGCTTCGCGCGGCGCCCGCCAAGGATAAGCTTGTGACATCCACAGGTGCAGCTGGCCACGCCGCAACAGATGCACCAGAAGCTTCATGACCAAAGAAGGCTGCTAAGGCTGAGCGGCGCAGGTATGATCCAGCGAGGACCTTCAAACCTGCGGTTGATCCCTCTGCTCAATCCCAGCCGAAGCGAAGCGAGGTGTGTGTGTGTGTGTGTGTGTGTGTGTTACGGTACTTGTGGACCCAGTTGGCCTTTGGACAATCCCGGGAATTGGGGGTGGAAAGGCGAGTATTGCATGTATGCATTTAATCCGCACGATGGGGTAAAACTCCACGGTGGAGCGAGGAGTGCCCGCAAGGCCAGAATTGATGAACCGTACAGCGACACAAACCTCGAGGCAAGGTGTTAAGTTTCTTGTACAGGTAAAGTCCCCCTTTGGGGCCGCACTTGCCATGACGTCCATGCCTGAGCTTGGACCTCGTTCGGCAACGAAGCCTGCAATTCATCAGCTTCAGTTTTGAAGGGGGAGGCCGGAGACTTCAAAGAAGAGACTGCGGCGAATCTTGGCAGTGCTTTGGTTGACCTTGCCCGGCTGCAGCACCGCACGAGCTTGCGCAAGTTCATCGCCCGTGCCAGTAACGCGTACTCCCAATCCCTGCTTGTAACAACCAAACCCTGTACTCTGCGAAGGGGCTTAATGCGAGCTTGCAGGTCCTGAACAGTGGAGTGGAGGTACATGTTGACCCAAAGGAGCACCATTCTGTCTGAGTAGAGTTTGTCTGCAGCGGAGCTGGGAACCCTGGCAGCACACTCACATGACGCTTGATTGTGCGCGCAACCGTAGATTTCGACCAAAGCTCCAGGGATCTCAGCAGCTGGATCTTTATCATGGCGGAATGCAGTGACTGTCTTAGACCTGGCTTTGCGATTGCCCTGAAAACTTGATGCCACAAGTTACCAGCATAGCATTTGTGCGCGGAGAACCAAAGCTCAACGGTGTCACTGACTGGCACCTTCAAGTCCGTAGGCAGCGCTGTCACCGGACTTGCACCCGGATTGATCACCGTAACCTGCGGCGTTGTCTATTCTCCTTCGTGGGGTCGCGAAGGGTTAGTTCCTCGGCACATGCTGACCTCACTTGGCGATTCCGGTTCAGCAAATCTCCTTAGTTGGCGACTCCGGTTCATTACATATTTGAAACACACCCCTCACTTGACGATTCCGGTTCATCATATATCTTATAAACACGCCCCCCTCATTTCGCGACTCCGGTACATCAAATATCTTAAACATGCCCACTCATTTCGCGATTCGGATTCAGAATATACCTTAAACACGCCCCCAAACACAATGATGGCATGATGGGTTTTAGAAGGGAAACTCATATATGTTGAAGCAAGCTTGCACGGCTTAAAACAGCGGGGGGGTTGAGGGGGCGCAGCCCGCCCCATTTGCAAACAGAATGCTCGCATGATAGGATCCAGAAACACTCACATGCTTTGAAGCAAGCTTGGGCGGCTCAAAAACAAGGGTGGATTGGCGGGCGGCGGGGCGGCGCGGCGCAGCCCCTCTTCCGCAAACACAATGTGATGGGTTTCAAAGAGACTGAATTGAAGCAAGCTTGCGCGGCTCAACAAAGCACGGGGGGTGGGGGTGGGGGGGGCAGCGCCCCCAATTGCAAAAAGAATGCTTGCATGATGGGGCGCAGCCCCCTGCCAGTTGCAAACACAAAGCTCGCATGATGGGTTTCAAAAAGACTCAGGTACATTGGAGCAAGCTTGCCCGGCTTGCCCTCCCAACTTGTTCTTTCTTCCTTTATTGCGTTGGTTCTTTCTTTGTTTCTCTCTCTTTCTTTCTTTGATCATGTAATTTGTTTCTGTCTTTCCTTCTTTCTTTTGCTATGTCTTCCTTTCGCTCTGTCCCTACCATCTTCCCTTCAATTCCATTGATAAAACAGAAAATATACGTTTTCCTCTGGAAACATCGAGCAAATGGAGGTTTCATGCTAGAACGAAAAGAAATTAGATAAACATAGAGGTTTTGCTATTAAGATATAGAGAACAAAGGTTTTCCTATGAAAACATTGCGAAAAGATGATTTCCTATGGAAATACAGGGAACCTACCACCCCAATACCGAAAGCATGCCAAAGAAAACTACTTAAAAAAACTGGGTCCAAGACGTTTCTTGACAAAGCTGGCAAATATGATAGTTCACATGATTCACTGATGAAAGCCGTACCAACTTCCTCTAAAGAAGTGCCGGCAAGAACTCAACAAAGTCTTTCCTCGAAGTTTTGTGTGCGACAGTTGCTACTTTTGATGCCCTCTGCGAGTTCGCTCCTTTCGATTAGGTAATCAAGAAGTAGTTCGAATTCAAACAATAGGGACGGCACATGTGAGTGCAACAACCTCCTTTCAACACGACGCGATGAGTCATCGAAAAGTGTGGAAACAGCATGGTCTGCCCCAGGTCAGCCAACTTTAGAAGTCATCGAAATCAATGCGACACATTTCGAATGCTTATCTCAGGCCCAACAGGCTTGACAGGTACTTGATCTTTGCCTCGAACTCTTTTCGGAAATTTGCCAGCATTGCTCAGCGGTGTCTGGTGTCTTTTTCTGATTTTAGGGGTCAGAACCAGGGAAAGTGGCGGAGCAAAGATGCTGGGGTGGTCCGCCGTCACCTCACCTGTATATTCTTGCACTGCTCCCTCCCAGGCTCTTGTGCAAAATACCTTGGCTCATTCTTTCGTTCTGCATTGGGCAGAAATCCAAAGTTCCGGTTTTGCGGGGCAAAGGGAACCAAGCTCGTTCGCTGGTTAGCTGCAAAGATGCATTGTAGGTCGAGGCCGGGATCGTTGCGAGAGCATTAACAAGACTACACAACTTGACCACTGTCTTGATGCACACACGATGCGCCTCCATTGAATCACCATCCACCACCAAGGGCGTCACGCTTCGTTGAACCACCTCTGCGACGGCCTCGCAGGGACAGAGCCAGGCCCTTGCTATACCGACCTCTCAATCCCCGAACCTCGCGACCCTTCGGACCGATCGGATTGCCCTTGAGGTCAATGTTGGTAACCGTGGTGTTGACCATCAGCGCCTCTGCAATAGCCTGTCAGCCGAATGGCCAAATCACACTAGTGCTTCAAAATATTAAGAATTCCAATAATGCGCAGAACTAACATTAGGACCAATAATTAGTAACAAGTACCAACTTCGTGCGAATACCAACTGCTAGTGATAATGACAACAGTAACAACAACAACAACAACAACAACAACAACAACAACAACTACTACTACTACTACTACTACTACTACTACTACTACTACTACTACTACTACAATAAGAAGAATAATCACAACAACATATAATCAGGATGAAAAATAACTCGAAAACAAAACAAATATAGTAGTGATTATAAGAAGAAGGATACTGAGACGAAGAACAACAGTAATGATACCAGAATAACAAAACTGTTAACGATGATTAACATATTTTTAAATTATAAGAAATGCTAAGCGGATGAAGAAGAATATTAATGGTACAAGTATGATAGTCATAATAATAACCAAAAAATCCAAATATCCAAATAAGAAGAGTATGGAAATAATCAAAAAGACAATCATCATTATGATCATCACAGCATTAGTACTGACGATATGAATAGAAAACATAGTTAACCATTGCTTCATGGTTCATCATTGTTAGGTAGTAACTAAGTAATGCCGAAAAACCATCCACACAAACTAAAGACTCTTACAAATGAACAATGAAAACTATTCATTCATTCTTGTATGTGTTCATATTACGGGTCGTTCTCATTATCCACGAGCCTTGGCACCGTCCGTTCCGATCTCGTTATGCCCGAGACGAAAGTTGGTGATCGCGACGTTGTGCATTATGCCTTCTGCAAGGGCCTGGCAAGAAAAAGGAAGGCATTGAGGCAGCCAATTCTGAACCTCCGAGCCTTGGCGCCCTCATCACCAATGGCATTCCCCCTCAAGTCGATGTTGCTGACAGTGATATTGAACTGGAGCATGCGTGCAAGGGCCTGCGAGGGAACAGACCAGTCTGCAGCCGTGCCGACCTCTGAACTACCTGGCCTTGGCACCCTCATCATCAATGCCACACATCTTGAGGCTCACGTGGGCGGTGCTGGAATTGTTCTTGAGTTGCTCCGCAAGGCCCTTGCAGGTAAAACATCGCACGGGGGAAAGAAACTCTCCCCCTTTCGCCTGATTGCCTGATACATCTGATACTCTCTTGAGAAAAGACCAGCAGTCCTGGATGCGCACTCGTCCCGTCCAAGCCTGGACAAGAATGCTGAGGTTGGTGATGTGACATTTTCCATGCACCTGCTCACCGAGCTCTTGGCATCAGCCGCGGCTGTGGGAGCCTGCCAACGACACTTACACATCTGAGCAAACTAAACTTGGGAATTGGATCCCTAGTTTAGTAGATTTAAGTCTGAGGTTCACCTGCACTCAGTTTCGCAGCACCATGACGTTGCAGCGACTGCTGTATCATTTACTGAAACAGTGACTGCTCATAACGTACACAGGAATCCGCCTCTGAACCGCCATCTATGGCCAAGGACGTGAGCCTTGTTGAAAGCACTCGTGCGATGGCCTCACAAAGAAGGGATCAGATTCCAGAGGGCCCATATCTGAACCAACCGAGCCTCATCACCCTCGACACCGATGGGATTTCCTTCTATGCCGATATTGGTGATTGTGTTGTTGATCTGCAGCATGTTTGCAAGCGCCTCGCACGGGAAAGGACCACGGCCGCAGCGACGTCTGAATCACCGAGCCTTGGTGCCCTCATCACCAATGGCATTCCCCCTCAAGTCGATGTTGGTGACGGTGGAGTTTGTCTTGAGCACATCTGCAAAGGCCTCGAGCACAAGGATCATCCCGATCAACGCGCCGGCAGCTAAACCACCCGGCCTTGGCCCCCTCATCGTCGATTTCACTGTATGTGAAGCGAACCTTCGTGATCGTGCTATTCCTGCTGAGCACCTCCCGAACGGCCTGGCAGAGAAGCCCAAACTATTGCAGCAGTCGACAGAAACCAGACCTCACCAGCAATGTTCGTGCTGCTGTTAAACCCCCAAATCCCACATGGCGAGGGTGCCTTGACGAGGTGGCCAGACCGATCCTGAGCAGACTTGATCTCGAGCTCTTCCACTGTGTCGTTCGACGCTAGTGCCTGAAGGGCTTTGAAGCACTCTGGCTCCAAAACGCAATCCTTCATGGAGGCCGACCCGGCCTTGCCGAAATCCTCTGCCTCTGATCGCCCCACCGCGAGGTTCCGGAGCCGCAGCACCTTCAGTCTCCTGTAGTGCGGCAGTACTTTTGCCAGCTGTCCCAGCTCGCCTTCTGGCAGGTTTGTCAAGAGCGCCTCTTTGCATACCTCCACTTTCTCATAGAATATCTCGCGCTGAAGCTGAATCACTGCTTCAAGATCAGAACGATGCGTACACATCAACTTAGTAGCTGTCATCGCAAAGACCGCTGGAGCTGTGGGAGCTTTGCCATGCAACTGGTTCTCAGAAGAGCCCGGCAGAGGGGAGTCGATGCGCTGGTTCTGTTCCGTCTTGCTCCTCAACGACGACCACTCGGCTACGGCCACGCACCAACCGCGACTCCGATACGGAAGTCGGTTGGATATCAGGCCGCTGAGAGGATGCGCCCGGACGATGCCACTCTTTGCGTCGTAAACTCGGACTTGATGCTCCGAGCTGTTCTGCCAAACAGCGTCTGGGGTCAGACCTTCTAGACGAAAAGTCCAGGTACACTCGTGGCAGAACAGGACGTGCATGTTCTCCATCGCTCGACGAAAGCTCTCATCTTGTTGCGGCGTCCGCTTATATTGAAACAAGGAAACATAATCAAGGAAAAACCAGATGTCCGAAAAGTACGCTGCATCATAGACAGACGCGACACCAGCCAAGCATTTTACTTGGCTGCCGGTAGGATCCGGGTGCTCTCTAGTCTCCCATGGATGGGAAACTGCGCAAATCATTGCATCCCGTGATCCTACTGCCCACTCGCGCACTTCTGCCCCTCTCACCAAGGCCCATTCCTCCTCAGGATTTCGGAGAGATAAGAGAAGAACGAGGAAGCTGCAAGAGTGATGCATGGCACGCACTTGTCTGAGATCGGCACAACTTCTTGGCGTCGTGGCAGGGTCCTCTTCTGCTTCACCAGCTCGTAAAGGTACCTGTACATCCGGCATCATTCATCCTGAGGCACACAGCTCCACACCCTGACAACGAAAAGCATGGCTTGCTAGACTGATTGCACCACACACTTTGTTTCAAGACATGGTTGGTAGAGGGCTGGGGCACTCCGCACGGATGAGGCGGATGTCTGCATGCTGCAAGTATGCGGCCACGGCTTCTGGATCTTGAAGGTCGTATGCCTGGCACATTCTGAGTCAGAGGGGTCCGACACGCACGACTTCGTTTAGTAAAGTGGTGCGTTCCCAGCACTTGAGGAACATGTCGTACATGAGTATATCCTGCTGCATTTAGGCATCTACTGGATAAACTCTAATCCTATTGACCCCGGTGAAGGAGCCATCAAGATGAGAAGATGTCCAAGGTAGGTGCGATGTCATCGATCTTGGTTTAGAGGTGCTCCAGTGCCACGTTTACAGCCCAAACTCCAGAATAAGCCAAAAACTCTACTAAAGTCAGTAAGAAAGTCTGCCATGTCTTCCTTCTTGCGAGTCGGGGGTCTACAGTCTGTATGGTGGACTACCGTAAAGCAGCTACGTACACTGCACCAAGAAGGCGGGGCACGACGGCTCGGAAGGCGGAGCATTCTTTGAGGGGCTTTGGGCCTTGGGGCCTTGGGTGTTGTGTTGAAGAATTTTCGACCACAGGAGACTCGCCTGTGATCGCAGACCGCCTCAGAGCTCAGCTTCGATACCAAAAGAACACAAGTTTGCCGAAACAGTGCCTGCCGAGACGGTGGCGCTGGCGCCGGCTTGGGAGCTGGCGGAAGCAGCTTTGGTGACCGTGGTGCCCCAGACACAGCCGCATAAGGCTCCGAAATTGGCGGCGGTGGCGGCGGTGGCGGCGGTCGCGCCGGGGACGACTTTCTGAGCAGTTTCGGAAGCACTGGGACTGGAAGTGTGGGGCCAGAGCTTGCGCCTTGGATGGGTTGTATGGGACAGGAGTTGCGGCTCGAAGCGTTTGTCTTTTGGGGCCTGTTGTGGCATGTGAACATAAGCATGATTCACTCCGAAGACTGTACATCATCACATGTGAAGTGCAACACTACTCAAACACGCATGCTCATGAGCTCTATCATGCTCGAGGCCCTGCTCTTTGAGAACGGCCTTGAGTTTTTGCCAAAAACCATCGAAACACTGCAATTTCTGTTGAATGTGGGGCCAACAATTTGTATGTGTATGTTGTATACTTGTACATGAGGCACCACAAACGGATGCTAGATTCCATGCTAGCTTCTTGAAAATGCTAAGAGTTGTAGTCGTAGTGGATCATGGATGACAATACATGTTCTGACTTAACGCCAAGACCGTCAATGAACCATGCTGTGGGGCCACACGAACCCAGGTGGCAACAACAAACAATATTGTCATCCCGTAGTTGTCGAATGCATGCACGCTAAATTTCTCAGGCTTGATATTTGAGCAGTGTTCGCGTGGTTTGTCATGGATGCACATTTATTGGCCGAACCTAGTACCGAACGAATATTTGCTGAGCATCTAGCGCCCACATAGTATTTAAATATTGGTTATGTTGTTATAAGCCAAAACCACGAGTTCCCGAAACCCGAAAGCCGAAAACCCTTCAGCCCCACACTCTAAAACCTTATTCCCCTCCTCAACGCCTGAATCTAAAACCTTCGGCCGCATGCTGCGACCATGGAGCCTGTCGGTGCAGCGGCTGCTTTGGCCGGGCTGCCTTGCAGATCCGACTGTCGGGGTCAAATTAGAAATTAAAACTTGCACAAGCTTGTACAACGACTATGAGGGTTCATATCCGTTTACAATACAAAGGCCCACCGTTTCGGGTTCTACAGGAGATATCCCACCTAAACGAATCATATTTCGAACTAGTCGAACAAAATGCGATCCGGTTTGGAGTTGGGAATTGTGGGTTTACGGGCTTGAAATTCAACGGTTTCAGGGTTGTAACAGCTTGATTTTCAGCTCCGATGCTGCTCCCATGACATGCCGTGGTATGCTGAGCAAATTGGCATATGAGTGCCGCATCCCCACGGCTTCTCTGAAGTCCAGCACAACTTGGAATTTTCAAAGCCTCGGAAAGAATGAACTTTGCCATCAAGCGGGGTCTGGCCTAAAAGCGCACATGCTGCTTTGGCAGCAGTTGTCGGTGCGGACGCCGAAGCCATCGATCAGGAATGCATATGGTCATGCAAGTAGGCAGTAGAACTTGAAGTCATGTTATACATCATGAATTACACGGTTTGAAATATGATTACATGTTTACGATACCGCATGATGCCCAATGATTGCTGTCCAATCTGAACTGTGCAACTGTGACTGTGAACCATCTCAACAAATATGAAAATGTCGTAATACATCGCCAGGACTCGAAAATCCTACGGAAACCTCAAAGCCCGAAAGTCTGGCCCTAGCTGACCGGACTTGGACCCAGGCTGGTGGCAGGCGACGAGCTCAGGGATCGGTTGCTCAAGCCGCTGCGATTGAGGTACGTGCTTTTTCGTCTCACTTTCAGTTTTAAGAGGATTTGAGTACGGGTCACTTGTCAGGATTCAGGGCTTGAAGTCTGGCTTTTTAGTTCAGGCGCTATCCTTTTCTCCCTGAACACTGCACCCGGAATCATGCGTCTTACAGCGCTGCTCAGAGAGGAGAATGGGGCTTGAGCTGGAAGAACACGCAACGTTTCATCTTGCATGTCTGCCACCGACAGCAAGCCACGAGGGACACTGAACCTGCCATCAGACAATGGCATGAGAGAGCTAAGGTCAAGGCGCTCTCTGGCATCATGCCTGCTGGTTCTCAAGCCCTGTCTTGTCCCTCGAGCTTCACCCTGAGCGCATGGCCACTCCGAAAAGCTGCTGTGGCGGAAGCCTCGCCAAGACCGCCAGAAGCCTTCCATGCACAGAGACAGAGAGGTCCTGAAAGACCGCGAGAACAACTGGTAACCGCACTACCACAGTGGGGGGAGCGATGCGCAGGATTCTCAGATGAAAGCTGCATGTGCAAACCTCGAAGCTCCCTACATTGTTGCAGCCTACCGCCAGAGACGCGGGCAGACATCATCCGGTCGACCCTCCGGGCACCAGAGCCTCCGCAGAAGAGATCCTTCGGCACCCCTCCTTGAACGATTGTTTTTGAACCGCGGAGTTGGCAAACGAGAAACCGACAAAGGCACGAAAGCGCAGTGGAGGACCTGCCTCCTGCACTGCAGTCCACGTGGCCGCTCCTTTGTGGTGCGACACCTAGGCTCACAAGACGGTCTCTGCTTACCCACTCAGGACCGTGGCCTTCACGGTTGCAAACAAAACGCCAAGAAAGCCTTCCGCACCCCACTGCCCGGCAAATATGACTCAAGGACAATCCCGAATCGCCAAGCTGCAGACTGTGCCATGCTTTCTTGTGTCTCGCGAACCGATGTCTCATGGCCAGGACAGCAAGCACACCACGAACACCGGACCCTAGGCAATCAACTTTGCTCCTTGCAAGACAATCCAGTCGAGGCCGGTTGGCTCCAAGTGCAGAGACAAGATGACATGCAGGTAATCCGAGATGCCAGCCTTCTGTGCAGTCAGTCACGCCAGCCTCTGTGAAGAATGGGTTCGTAAGAGTACGCTTCCTTTGATCCGGTTGTAAACACGACTTGATAAGAAAATCTCAGAATAAGAGCTTGTGGGGCATGGGAAACGCTGAGCGCGCACCAACTACTGAGACTACAAGAAGCCGATTGGGAATGCTTGGGACACTCGGCAGATCCATGCAAGCTCCTGCGCCAGGTTCAGCCTAAGCCGGTGAAGACCAAACAAGGTGCAGGGCTTCGGCTGGGTTCAAGTTTAGGGTTTTTAAGGTCGCCCAAACAATCGCTGGGAATCACGACGCGGAAAGCAAGGCACACACATGGTGTAAGAAAGCCATCCGAGGAGGCCATACCATGATTCCAGCTGCAGTGGCTCATGGCATACTTACTGCCTTGTACTGATCATCCTGTGCCCTTGAAGGCAGAACTGTTGTGGTTAACTCTTGTCTTTCTATCTCTGCTCACTCACGTGGGACATCATCGAACCATGCCCTGCAAGCGGCTCGACCACTGTCTTCTCGCGGCCTGCTGCAAGCAGCTGCTTCAGGAAGTCCACGGGCCCGCGCCCGGCAGCGATGTGCGGCCGAGTCCAGCCTCGGTCTATGGGGCCGCTATTCGGGCATTCCGCTGTTGGATTTGAGGCTTTCGGTTTCGGGGTTCCGGGTCCAGGACTGCGGGCGTTTAGGGTTTAGAGCTGTAAGCGTTTTGGGATTAAGGGGAAAGTATCATGGTACATGCTGCTTAGCAGCTCTTGTTAGTAGCTACAGTAAGGTCTTTTGACCTGTTCACAACGGGGCAACCACCTGCTACGTGAAACCCACAAAACAAGCGGTGAAGTTGGTGCCATGCTGATTCTACATGGCTGTGAGCTGCCCAGAAAGGCCCATGCTGTCCCTTTGTTCCCTCCTGGCCAGAGCTCAGAACGACAAGAAATCACAGGTCCCGACCCATACAAACAAGGCTTGCGGAACTCAAGGTTAGACTGCAACGTCAACGTTGTTCGATGAGCAGCTTGTTGCCGTGTATGTTAAGTCTCGGTTGTCTATATTGTCCTCCACTGCTACAATTCAATGGCGGCCGTTAGTGCTAGTTACCAGTCTATGGCGGGATCCGCTTGCATAGTCCAACGGCCAGGAGAACCTGCAAGTAGGTCTGTTGCCTTCCTGTTGGCATGCATATGCGGTGTCGAGCACCACGCCATTAACATCACCCCCCCCCCGAACAAAACAAAAAAAACAAAAAAAACGTCAACAGAGAGCAGCTGTACAATCTCAGCGGTCGACTATCAGCGCAGGACATATCTCATGTGACAGAGGAGCAGAAGGTCAACCAAGACGTGCCCTGCCGTTCCAGAAGAAAGTGCGCGCTGGTGATTAAAGAATCGTTGAGCTCCCGGCCGGGTGGTCAAAACTCGAAACTCGACGACAGTGCTCTGGCAGGTCCTACATGTGCAGCTTGATCACGCACCGGCGACGATATGACAGACCAGATATGCCAGGGTTGGAATTATTGTCGGCGCGTAGCTCCCAGGCCTTCCGAAGCTCCCCGGCGGAATGGGGCCTCGGCCACCAACGAAAGCTTATCAGAGCAGCTGCATCTTTAGTGGGAAGGGCGAAGCTCATCCTGCCAGCCTTCCCCACATATCCACACATCTTTGGCAGCCACTGCGAGACACTGACATACTCGCACCTAAAGCTATAGTCTCACATTGGGCAGCTTCCGGCAAGCAGCCATCACCATCGGCGACTTCCTGCACGAAAACGGCCGAAGAGACAATCGAGCCTTAAAATAAACATTTGAGGCGACTTGCCCGGACCACACCTTACATATCTCCAAAACCTTAAACCCTGAACCTCAAACCTGCAATTAAACCTCAAACCACACCAAACCCCGGACCTTGAACCCTAAAAACTAAACCCTAAACCTGAGTCTAACCCCAGAAATAAAACCCTAAACCCAAAAACACCCTAAATCCCCACCCAGTCTGACCTCCGGGTCTGCTCCCAGCTTCGCACGTCGGCCCTGGGCTCTCGGAAAGGACATCGAAGGGCTCTCGTTGCTCCGGGGACGAAGCACCGCTTCGGGGCTTTTAAGGTTTAGGGCTTGGGGTTTTAGTGTTTTGGGGCTTTAAGATGCTTCGGGGTTTTAAAGTTTAGGGTTTTTGGGGTTTTAAGACATAGGGTTATCGGGTTTAGGGCTTGAGGTTTTGGTTTTGAGGATTAGGGTTTAAGGTTGAGGGTCTAGGGACCACAAATTCCCACGAGGCTTCCGTCTTGTACTGTGGCGGAATCAGGACGCACAAGGTCCAAGAACTCAGTGGATGAAACAGTGGCCTCGCATGAAAGCAACAACCGAGGCATGGGGCAACCTCAAACTGGGTCATTCGACCTTCTACCTTGTCAATTTACACATGCTGTCCCCAGTGTCGGCATCGCTGAACATGAAGCATGGGTAAGCTGTGGTGAAAACAACGCTCGAAGCTTCGGCCCGCGCCGTCGGATCGAGACAGCGGCTCGGTGAAACAATCTCGCCAATGCAGCCATGGTCTTTCCATCCCCGGCTGGTGACTCATGAACCATGAAGCCATCGGGTAGCTGTTTTAAGGATCGGAAGCCATCACGTAGCTGCTTTAGGATTCGATTGGGTTTAGGATTTAGAGCTTTCCGTCCGCAGCTGGTGACTGCTCTCATGAAACTGCTTTGCGGCTACAAGTGCAAGCCGTAACGGCCGGGCATCATGATCATGGGGATGATGATGATGACGATGATGATGATGACGATGATGATGATGATGATGATGATGATGTGACGATCGTAAGCCTGCGTCTGACACTTGAACTTGAACCTGATCATCCTCCCAGCCACGTCTTTCTGTGAGCCTTTCCATCCTGATCATCATAGTTATTAACGACACCATCCGATATCACAGCCATCACCCTCTTCATTGTCGGCGTGAGCATACTCATCCCACACTGGCTATGCCATGATCATAGGTTCATCATAGATCACCTGTTCATTGTCCCGACATCACATCTTGCGCATACACTGGACATGTGATCACAACGCAACAACCATGGGGTCCAAGCTTCATCCGTTACGTGGGGAAGGCCAGCACTTGAACCCTTGACATGTTCATCCTGCATGCCTCATATATTCGTCATAAACTCATGTTCTGCAGTGGTACCGTGCGTTGCCCATTCAATGTTTTCAGCACACGACCTGCATGACCATCGTAGAAACTACGTTGACCGAAATAGGGGCACGCCAAGGGCGCCATGTGTTGTAGATGTGTTAATACATACCATGTAGCACAAAATGCTTATGCATTAACTGCCTTGACACTGGCTCTCCTATAGACAATATGCTTGTCAAAACGGAACAGTTTTCGTTATGTAGACATTCATCTTGTGACCATATGCTCCCCGTACACTCGTCAAAGACTCCAAAAACTGATCATGTGGAACCATCTACTGAGTAAAGACTGTTCATTTCTTACATTGAGCATCTACTGAAGTAATGACCAGGAACGTGGCCTATTCTGCCTATATACCGTCCGCACATGTCTGCACAAACTTCTCAACAGGTGCAAGTGCTGCGCTGTAACACTCCTCACCAAAGCACTGATCGTGAGCTCCAAGGTGTTGTTACATGCTCGCCAAGTGGCTGGGTTGTTGCATCGGACGATCAGGAACGTGACCAAAGACATAAATGAGTCACTGGCACACAACAAATTGAAATGCGGTTGTTGGCCAACTGGCTTGTTAGTCTTCGTCCGTGATGTTGCGAAGCTCTGCTATTCGCAGCTGTCGCCCACTTCTCAAAAACCCTGTATGTAACAGGTTTGGAATTTGGAACCTGTTTGAGGCCGGTCCGGCATTGCTGTGGAGAGCAAGAGAGGAGCAATCTGCAGGATCTCCCTGTGCCAACGCGAGGCGCCTCTGTGAAACACGTGAGACCTGGCCAAGGCTGTTCCGCGAGTCTGTGCACCCCAGAACTCAAGCTGCCGAGCTGGACTTCATATGTACATATAATATAATATGATATAATACAATATAATACTAAAACTATATACAGATACATACATACACACACACACACACACACACCTACAACAAGCACTCAAGCGCAGCTCGCCTACTGTGCTTAGATGCCTCCCGCGTGAACTCTAACACTGCACGAGGCCAACTGATTCAGGTCCACCACATAGGACGGCCGGGGTTTGGCGTTCAGGATTTGAGGTGTAGGAGGTGTAGGGAGCATGGAGTGAAGGCTTGCAGCGGAGGCTGAGCGAGCCAGTGAGTGATGCTATCCGAGGCCAGGTGGTGGACCAACCATCGTCTCAACGGCAGGGATCCTGAAGGAGTGTCGGGAGAAGAGAGAAACTACAGCGCGATTTTATTGCTCTGGCTTAATCCATCTGAAAACTAAGACTAAAGCAAAATGTTCCACAAAAGATCCAAGTATCTCTGGCCCGCAGCAGCGAGCCATGTAGTCGTACTCTTCCCGCAGCTTGGCACCAACATCGCCAAATGCTGCTTTCACAAGATTCGCTGCTTTCTTCCAGGCACTGTTGGCATACTCTTCGAGCAATTTTGTTAATTGCTCTTCGGACCTCGCCTGATGCCGACCAAGCAACACCGGGATGGCCTCTGGGACTTCGTGCGCTTTCTTGGCTCTGATCATCCAGAGCGTCTCCATGGCACAGAGCGCGCATGCAGCCGAGAACTCTGAAGCCGCAAACTGATCACCACCCTCACGGCCTGCCAGATCTGCTGCCGGAACAAGGTGCTGAAGTCTGTCCTTGAAGGCCCTGCATCTCGAGCTGGGCCAGGCAAGGCTGCATGACACCAGTCTGCAGGAAACTCTCAGGAAGCTGTCTTCTTTCCAGTTTTTTGGCAAGGTGTCATCAATGTCCTGCACTGTCTGCAACCTCGCCCATGCCTCGGACAGCATTTCCCGCTGGATTTGATTCTTCTCATTTTGCTTGGCGGAAAACCACATGAACAGCTGATTGTGGTACCTTTGCCAAGCTGGACTCTCTTGCCCCTGGCCAGTAACTTCTTTGCTACGGCGGAGCAAGACCTCACGGACCTCGCAGACGGAGTCCCACCGTCTTTTAAGCAGAACTTGGGTGAGCTTTGTCTCAGCATCAAACAGTAGTCCGACCGTGTCGGGAAGCAGCAGCTTCGGCTGACTTCCACGAACCATACTCTCAAAGCTCTGGCGATTTCTCTGCTTACGCCTCCTGGGATTAAGATTCTTGCTGCACATATGGCAAAACCGGCATTTCGCTTGCTGGGGGCACTTGCCACCTTTGAAGAACCTGCATGGCCTTGCGGCACTGTCATCAAAGCTGCAGCTGCAATCAAGCGCGCCGATCGTGTTGTTCCACTTGACCTTGTCGACCTTGTCCTGCAGTCAGCAATTAGGCTTCAACATTTTAGGGATTTGCAATTCCTGTCGCTCCCACGCACAAGCTACGCCGAACAAGTTTGAGACCGTGTGAGTGCACAAACGACATGAGCATTGTCCTTGTCAGCGGCGCTGCTGCAGCCTTACAGAGCCACTTTGCCGATCTCGACAGGCATGTAAACTGTGTGCAAAACGACCCTAACGCACTTCCAGCAAGAACAACGAGCCGCACTTGCAACTGGTATGTCTTTCTTTTCGCGTGCCTGCGCGTGGTTAGATTCTACCAGGTAGCCTCACATTTTCTTCAACCAAAAACCAGCACCATGTCCTGAAAATGGAGTGCCGGTCGAGGCGGCCGAGGCGGGGTGTCTACTTTCAACGATTCCAGCAACCCCGTCCACAAAGGTCCAAGAGTTCCTGTTAAGCAATGTCGAGTTGTGTATATGCGTAACTCAGAACTGCACGGCATTATGTGTGTGTATATACATATATATATATATATATATATATATATATATTTATATACATATATATATATATATACATATACACATATTTCCCGCCACCGTGTTTACCGTACCCCTAAATCTTGAAAAACGCAGCTGCCGCTGTGGTGACGTGCTTATTTCAGTGTATTTTGGAAGTACGCAAATGACAAGGCTGTTTTGCGTTTTGTGTGGGAGGCGTTGCTCGAAAAGGTTTACGCGCGTGTGTTGTGACAACGTGTCTTGCTCCACATCCTTGTGCAGCATGTTGTACCAAGAGCCCAAAATGCTGTAAATACCAGCGTTTTGGGCATGATCGCCAAAGGCAGTGACATGAACATCAACCTGACCATCTTCATCATCATCTTCATAACGATCATCCTCGCCATGCTCAACATCATCGTCTGCCTGATCATCTTCATCTTCATCCTCATAGTCATCATCCCTATCATCATCCTCATAATCGTCGTCATCATCAACATAAGGCCGGTGATGCAGTTAACGATGATGTTGAAGATGGCGAGGATGATGGTTATGATGAAGATGGTCAGGTTAAAGTTCATGTGATTGCCTTTGGCGGTCATGCCCAAAACACTGGTATTTACAGCATTTTTGGCTTTTTGTACATGCTGCACAAGAATGTGGAGCAAGACACGTTGTTACAAGCATCCTACCACTGCTACTGCTACCGGCGCTACTGTGTTACTGCTTACGGTCAACCATGTCGTCATTAGCCCCCTCCCCCCCCCGTTACTGCTTACGGTCAACCATGTCGTTATTATCCCCCCCCCCCAGCACATATTTGTACGTAGGTATGTACATTTATAGATATACAGATATGTAGGTTTATAGATGAAAAAGTTGGAAGATCTGTATGTAGATATGTAGCCATGTAGATTACATACATATGTATATACATATATATATACGGGTAGATATATGGACATAAGTATGTGGATAACCATACCTATACGTACATTCATATGCAGGTAAGGACAGGTATAGACATACCCAAAGATATAGATACATATATGGATGTGGACATATATAGAAACAGATACGGTGCAAGCACAAAGTAAGCCATAGATACAACACTGCAATATAACACAAGATGACATCATCATTACATAACTCATCGCATAGCGTAACAAAACACACATTTAATGTAACAATGTAAGGTGATGCAATGTAACATATATTACATAGTGTAATGTAATGTAGTGAAATGTAATGTCGTGTAGTACGGTACATAAAACAATTCAATGCATACTAGCACAATGAAATATAGTATAGGTTTACGTAATGTATAGTTTTATGTAATGTACTGTGGTATGAAACCACCTAAACTAACTAGTCTACCTACTTCAAACGGAATCATCTAACACAGCACGATATGACCCAATCCATCCCTACCTAATCTCATCGGTGAAAACACATCACAATGTTTAAAGTGCAACAATACAGCATTAGCAGTATAACGTAAATCAAATTCAATATCTTATACATGCTACGGACTGGGGGAGCAGCTTGTCGAGGCACTTTCCAGTAAGATTGTATCTTCCAGATTCTCTGCAACGAGTAGGCCCAGCCAGCTATAGACAGGGATTTAGTTTCGAGTTTCGGGTTTAGGGACACATCAACCGCGGGGTCCAAGGTTGCCACCCAGCTGTGCGCCGCCGAATCGTACTTGCAGCGTCTCCTGAGGATTTGCCGGCCGAGGATTGCGTTCTCCCAAAGTTCGAGACAGCAAAGGTTTCCCTTCATGATGCTCCCTGAGCCCCTCAATGCCAACACTAATCATCTTACCAACACACCCAAACCAGCCGTGTCTCCAGGTGCGGCAGCTGTTCCAAGGCAGAGGCCAGGGTGCCACGTTCCTCACGACCTCGCAGAGTTCATAGCATGATGTTGATTGCTGGAATACGGCCCGGAGATTTCTGATCTTGCTCCTGCTCTGGCTCTTGCTCCCGCGCTGTCGTTTGCTCCCTGCTCCTGCTGCATCTCCTGCTCTCGCTCCTATGCTTGCTTTTGATCCTGCTCTTGCTGTGGCTCCTGCTCTTCCTTATGCTCTTGCTCTTGCTCTTGCTCTTGATTTTGCTGTTGCTCCGGCTCTTGCTCTTTCTTTTTCTCCTGCTGTTGCTCTTCCTGTTACTCTTGCTCTTGCTCTTGATTCTGCTCCTGCTCGTGCTCTTACTCCTGCTCTTGCTTTTGCTGTTACGTTTGCTCTTGCTCCTCCTCCTGCTCTTGCTTCGGACTCCCGCAGTTTGCAGGGATTAATAGGCTGGGATGGTTTCGGGAGGATTGACCCCAAAGTGTTTTTCATCGTGGGGGTGTTTAATGAATGGGGGCATTCATTGGGAAGCAATCCCTACATCCGCTCTCTGCGCCGGAGTGACCAGTGCCCAGAACAACAATAACAACAATTGCAACAACAACAACAACAACAACAAACACAGCAGCAGCAACAGCAGCAGCAGCAGCAGCAGCTGCAGCAGCAGCAGCAGCAGCAGCAGCCGCAGCGGCAGCGGCAGCGGCAGCCGCAGCGGCAGCAGCAGCAGCAGCAGCAGCAGCACCAGCAGCAGCAGCAGCAGCAGCAGCAGCAGCAGCAGCAGCAGCAGCAGCAGCAGCACCAGCAGCAGCAGCAGCAGCAGCAGCAGCAGCACCAGCAGCAGCAGCAGCAGCAGCAGCAGCAGCACCAGCAGCAGCAGCAGCACCAGCAGCAGCAGCAGCAGCAGCAGCACCAGCAGCACCAGTAGCACCAGCACCAGCGCAACCAGATGAAGAACAGCAACAGCAAGCGCAGCAACAGCATCCACAGCCGCGACCGCAACCGCAATCGCAACAAACACCACAACAAACAACCACAGCAACAGCCGCAACCAACAACCAAAACCACAACCGCAACCACCACAGACGGTAAGTTCGTCTTGTACCTATGAAACAGATGAATCATCCACTTACACCTTCCAGACTGCAACCAATACAGTACCGCCGGTGCCAAACTAAAGAACCCTCAAGCCTCGAGCCTCCCAACGCGCTGAGGCAGTGGCTGATCTTGTCACTCTGCACATCCAAGATCAGTTTTTCGAGGTCGGTGAGCTCCTTCATGACCAAAGCCAGCAGAGTCTCTGCACCGCCTGCAGAAGGATTGGGTCGCTGTGGGTTGCTGGGCAAGTCGCACTATGCCACTACGCGTATTCCGAGAGAATTCTGGCAGAACACCTGCCAGCTTGTTTACAGAAGAGCTCTCGAAACCGTCCACAAGCAAATACCTGCGAGAGGATGTGCAGGCGGCCAAGGGCACGGCTGGGTATCTGAAGCTCCAGCTTTTTCTCGCTCTTCAGCTGCTGGGCAGCCCGTTGAATCTCATTCTGCGCACCTGCTCCGAGGCTCCGAGGGCTCTTCGTTTTCGTTGCATGATCTGCGGGGCAAGTGCACGAGAAGGCCTGAGCGATTAAGGATGACTGCGGCAAAAAGGGCGCATACATGGGAATGAACCAGAAGACCGTCCGATGCATTCAATGTGATTGCCAGCCAGCCTGTCCGCAAAGCTTTCGCCAGTTCTTCGGCCTGCAGGACTTCGGAAACCACCTATTGCAAGTAGCCCCACCCGAATCTATCTGATGCTCCAAATCTCAGGAACTTTCAAATCTGAGGGGGGCTTGAAACTTTACTTATTTCATGAAGGGTTGGGCGATTGGTTCAAGCGTGTATGACAAGGTTATGACTTATCCGAGTGGTTTAGTGTATATGCTTTCGGGCTTGGCAGGGGTTGGGTTTCAACGTTCTCCGACACCCGACCTTAATAACATTGATCCTTTCCTACGCTATAAGTGAATACCACAGCTCTCAAGCATAAGCTGATCGGGAAGAAAGCTTGGCACAAGGCATTCTGAGAGTTTATTATCCTCCCAAGTAGGGATTGTAAAAGGCGCGAGATCTTAGACACTGCTGCGTTGAGTCTTGAGCACCATGAGTTTTGAAGGCTTAGCATCCATTTTGGAACGCAGGGTTCTTTGCTGTCGTGGCGAAAACTGTGTGGAACCACCTTTGCTACGGATTTCGGTACCAAAGTTAAGAGCCCTAGCTGGAAACCAGTTACAAGCTGTGCTACTCTGCTGAAGGTGCCTTTGTCATGATCTTCTTTGCTGTTGTTTTTCCTAAGATGACTAGCATGAGTAGGGCGAATGTTGTAATCATGGTTGTGGACCTGCTAGTTTAAGCTGAAAGCCGAAAGAAATCAAAGAATGAGTGTTATTCATTGACGCGCTATTAGATGTCTTCACCACCTTGCGAAAATATTGAAAAATCATGGTAAGACCACACTTCGTATCTGAAAATGCATTGAAGTAACAGTAGCAGCAGCAGCAGCAGCTGTAGAGGAACAGCAGCGCTGTAGAACGAAATAGGCTTCGTTCTACAATACGGTACCGTATTGGATATTTTGGGTCTTGAAATTCTGAAATATGGATATGGCATGATATGGCAGCTACTGTCCAAGGCTGGGAGAACATACAGTACATGAGTTGGACTGTGTTGCCATGCTGCGGAGCCTGCTCTTTGAGCTTGCGCATCTCCGACGCCCACTCCTGAGTTCCAGGGCAGGCAAACTCCAACAAAAGATCGCAGCTACTGCCGCCTCCTCCATTTGCAAAGCCATCTTCTCAGTCTCCTGCTCCAAATTAAATGGGACCGATGTGTCTGAATGTAGCACATGTCTCGCATCCATCTCCAAATCAGGTAGTAGATGCCTCTGCCTGGCGTTTCGCTTCCTCTTCTTCCCCCTGCTCCTCGTCCAAATGTCACAGCCGCGCATGAGTGCAACACGTCAAGCGGTCTGAATCCGAGTCCTACATGCCCCTCCCTCCCTCCCCCCTTCCCTCGGCAGGGAGCATCGAGCTTGTGCCGCTCTGCAGTGCTGCTTCTGACTCTCTCTTTCAAAGGACGAAGACTACGAGCTGGGTCCGCGTTGGGCGCAAATGGTCCAGAACAAAGCAGGGTGACCCCCGAGCTCAGCTCTTCTTGAAGCCTTTGCTGTTTCGGGGTTTCGGGCTACGCTCCTTGGACAAACCTTCTTTTCGGCGGTGGTCGTTCTGTACAACGGTTGCAGCTGCAGTCGATGCATCGATTCTCAATAGCATGTACCCTCTGCCTGCGGTGACTCAGTAGGACCCCTGTAGCAGATTGAGGTGAAGTGCTACATTGACATCCAGATCGCCCATTGTCTGGACTGGCCAGGTATTTGCTTTTATTCGAGCTGTTTATATACACTGAGCTACCAACACCACCAGCCTTGAATCATCGAGACGGCTGATTCTGAATGCAACATGCATCTCAGACAGACCTATCTCCACTCCAGGTACATCGCTGTGCCTGGCCCTTCGCTTCCACCCTCTCTCAATAAGACGGCTGTCTGCGAATGCAACACGCATCTCAAACAAATCTCCAATGCAATTTGGCGCCTCTGTCTGGGGCTTCGCTTCGGCCTTCCGTAAATGTAGGGACCCCAAAAAGCACATACGCAAAAACTAAGATAGGGATATCCCATATAAACCCCCTTGTAATGAAGCCCAATGCGGTAGTGATATCCCCATAAAATGCCTATGCTTATGTGCTTTTTGAGTCCCTAAAAATGGGACGGCTGATGCTGACTGCCTATCTCAAAGACATGCCCGATGAGTCGGAGCCTCCTCTTCACGACGCTGCCTTTCTTCCGCCTGCTCATGCGACGACGGTTCCTGAATGCAGCTCACTCATGCAAGTACATCCCATTGCTGACACCATTACCAATGCCGCCATTCCTGATGATGGCCGACGGTTTCTAGATGCAGCCCACGCAAATGCAGGTAAAGTCGCCTGCTGCTGATAGGATGACGGTTCCTGAATGCAGCTCGGACATGCAACTACATCTCCAATGCAGGTGCAGTCGGCGCCTGGTCCCATTGCTGATGCCAGTACCACGGCCGCCATTCCTGACAATGGCTGCCGGCTTCTGAATGCAGCTCGCGCGAATGCAGCTCCAGCGCAGGTACATCGCCTCCTGCCGATAGGACGACGGTTCCTGACTGCGGCTCGCACGTGCAACTGAATCCGATGCAGGTGCAGTCGGCGCCTCTTCCCATTGCTGATACCAGTGCCAATGCGGCCATTCCTGACAATGGCAGAATATGGCAGACGGCTTCTGAATGCAGCCCGCACAAGTACAGCTCCAATGCAGGTACAGTCGCCTCCTGCTGCTGGGTGGACGGTTCCTAAACGCAGCTTGCGCATGCAGTTACATCTCCAATGCGGGTGCAAGCACCTCTTCCTGTTGCTGATGCCAGTACCACGGCCGCCATTCCTGGCAATGGCAGATGTGTCTGAATGCAACTCGCGCAAATGCAGCTCCAGTGCAGGTACAGTCGCCTCTTGCTGAAAGGACGAAGGTTCCTGAATGCAGCTCGCACATGCAACTACATCTCCAACGCAGGTGCGGTCGGCCGCCTCTTTCCGTTGCTGATTCCAGTACCACGGCCGCCATTCCTGGCAATGGCTTACGGTTTCTGATTGCAGCTCGCACAAATGCAGCTCCGATGCAGGTACAGTCGCCTCCTGCTGATAGGACGACGGTTCCTGCGTGCAGCTCGCACATGCAACTACATCTCCAAATCCAGTCGGCGCCTCTTCCCATCTCCGCCATTCCTGACGCCATGCAGACGGTTTCTGAATGCAGCTCGCGCAAGACGAAACTTCAACGATCCAGATGTCTCCCGCCCTCTCTTTCTGCCCTGTCTCTCTGCAGGTTTAAAGGGGCCTGCCTGCCTATCTTTGCTTTGCTCGGGGTGTGGGGCGGGGCCTGCCTCTCTCTCTCTCTCTCTCTCTCTCTCCCACATTCCTCTATTCGGCAAAGGTGCCCATAGTTTCAGGGTTGGGGCCGCGGGTGTGGGACCAAAGCGAGACAGTTTCGGCGCCCAGTTTCGGCACAGCGGGTGACGCGGATCTGTCAGAATCGGGGGGCGAGATGGGCAGTTTCAGTCCGATGCTTGCAGGTCCGGGCCTGAAACTGACAAAGGCATGAGACCGAAACTGACCATGTCCTGGTCCGAAACTATCCCGGACCATGTTGCGACACTCCACCCCGAAACTCAGCGCCGAAACTAACCTCGAAAACGCTGAAACTCACAACTTTCGCCGCACTTCATGTGGCACTCTCAGGAGTATGGCATTAACAAACCGGTCCATGGTTTAGTTTTGTGTCCATTGATAGTGAGTGTTGTCGTCGCACCATCTATCAAGCCATCAGAGAAACCAAAATGACATGCCGCATCATGCCGCACTTCCTATAGTGGGGATAGGCTGCGAAACTCAAACACACACTTGCCTCCACTGTCAACTTATCCGGCTGACCCGCATCCTTCTCAGCAGAGAGGCCTCCCGTGAAAACCGTGCAAAACCTAATCTTCAAACGACAGCTGGGTCTATATGGTTTCGCAGCCACCATCCGCAACAGAGGGAAAGTATATACACTGCATACACAAAACTCGCAATGCATTCCTGCAGTGCGATTGAAGTTTCTTGTACTCGGGCCAGGATGTAATCTCATCAATTTAGGGAGATATCTGCTTTTGACTACATTACCGCGTCGGCTGCACCAAGCGATCACGGGGCGGGCTGGATTAGTCGAGAGTACGGAACAAGAACGATAGATCGCTGCAGGAGCTAACCTGACCAGTATCTAAGACCACAAGCGCAGAAAGGTGTACAGTACGCCACAACATGGCATGGATACTGCAAGTAGAACTCGCACACCGAGGCTTTCTTAATCGCCTAACACTTTTGACGATTTTCCGTGTATCCTGCTTGGACCTTCTTATATATGCATGAAACAGAAATGAATAGAAATACAGCTGCATGCCTGGATGCAGCTCTCAGAACCGACCTGCACGTACGGCCGTGTGGCCATCAGCCAAACCCAGACCCTCTTCCTCCCTGCCTTCAGAGTGCGGTGGATGTAGCACATCAGCAGTCTGCTGCAGCTGCGCCCTGGCAATTCGGCTGCATCCTAGCTAAACTCCTGCCTCCTTTTCCTGGGCAACTGGCCTGCCACGATGTTAAACTAAACTGTCCAGGCTGTTTCTTGCCTGCTACACGGTGACGTCTTTGGCTGCGATGCTACGACGACGACGACCAGGACCACGACCACGATGCTGCCGATGAAGCAGAAAATGATGACGATGACGATGACAATGACTATGGTCTGATTGCTGATGGGGGTGATGGTACGATGGTATGGGCGGCATGGCGGGGATGCCGCGCCTATACGCCAACAATATGCCAATGATGATCCCATATGATTGGGAGTTTGTGCCGTTTCAAGTATGCTGACGCAGGAGAAGTGAAGGGAGAGCTCTGACAATTATCACCAATCTTCAACCTGAGTCGACCCAATCTGATACCTAGACATGTAGTCACCAGCGGACATCACTTCGCATGCCCAGGCTTCCAGGTCTCAAGCTGTAGTGTAATTTAGGATGACATGGTTTCCAACTAGATACTGTCAGTGGCTCAAGTGCTGATGCGCTTGCATTGATGGGCCACGTTCTGCTCTACTTCCTCGCTGCCACATTCAGTTGTTGCGATGTGTTATTGCTACGGCTGCTGCCGCATCGCTGTGGTTCTGGCTATTGCTACGGCTGCTGCTGCTGCTGCTGTTGCTGAATCTGGTCCTGCTGCTTGAGGTGGTGTTGCTCTAAACGTATCAGTCCAGATTTAATTTAGTGGACGGATGCAAGAACACACATGGGGTTAGAACATGTTGCCTTTGGGGCCGCTGGCGACCCTTACGGCTCAGCTGTGCGTCCGCATCGGACATGTCGAGGTGAGGCCCTGATTGCTCTCACTTAAACCGGTTGTCCGTGGGCGGGGTGGGGGGAAATGCGCATGCTTCGTTAGAGATCATGCAATGACGGAACTGGAGCCTGTTGGCTTTAGCAAACTCCGCCAAGCCTGGTGGCGACAGGAGATTTCAGCTTCTCGTCCAGCCCTCTGGTCAAAAGATACCGCCTTTCCTCCTCGGTTGCTGGCGAAGGCTTGGCAACTTGACGCCAACATTTGGGGTATGCTGGATCTGTTCGCTATTTCGCACCCGGCATCAGACCCTGCAGGCAGAGCATCATGGATGTGAGGAGGCCTTCAAAGCGCAGGCTTGGGGCTTGCAGCAGGGTTTAAGGCGTTTGGGGTTTAGAGCTTCAGGAGTTTTGGGGTTTCTGGATTTTAGCATTTCATAAAACGGCTGCCTTAACTTGGATGATAGTTAGCTAAGTAGCCGCAACTCTAACGCAAACCACACTCACCGGCGCAGAACAACAGCATTTCGAGCAGGAAAGCTTGAATCGTGAATGCAATCGCAGCTGCTCTACAAATCGGCTGTTCTAACCACGGCCTCAAATGAGTTCCGATCTCAAGTGACATGTCCCAGCAGTGCACAACATTTAATTTCAGGTGAAATACAGGTGCCTTGATGGGTAGAATAGGGTTTTGGGTCGAATTACAGTAAGTATCACCATATTAGGGAACCTAACGGCCCTAAGGACTAATTTTGCAGGCTTCTACAGTAGTGCCTCGCCAAGGAGCCAGGCTCCTGCACCGCGCCAATGTGAGATAAACCTCGGGCATGCTGGTGATGTGATCAGTGACTCAGGAGGCCAAAGTTATGCAGTTTCGGTTTGGCCGTGTTTGATGTTGCGGACGCCGAGATCCGTAAGTTTGGAGACTACAAAGCTACAAGAACAAATGTTGATCAGTGCCAAGCACCTTAGCAAGGTCCTTCAGGTGACATCGCTCTGCAGCGTCAGCTGCCTGTTGCCATGCATTCACCTTGCGTGATACATTTACATGGCTGTAATAAGTTCAGTCACGCGGCGAATCAGGAAACTCTTCCAAACAATACCAGTTTGCCACCGGACAATCTAATTAACAAAACAGAAACAGTCTCGGGAAAGATTCAAGCCACCGTATACATGAGGCACTTCTGTGAGAACTGCTTCTCGTCCGCGTCCTTGCACAGCAGGAAGGGGGAGAGAGAGAGAGAGAGAGAGCAAAATAATACACAAAATCATCGAGTTGTGTTAATGCTGCAAAAACTAGTGCCAACAGCCGAAACAGACTGAGAATCGAGATTCTTCGCACTCAAAGAAGAGACCGCCATTCCGCATTGTCTGAGTTTTCCGCTCCGGATGAACCTGGCGCACTGCAAGCAGCCTCTGTCTTCACAACAAAAAAATACAAGATCTATACTTACAAGTAGTAACATGAACAGTAGCATCATCCTGACGGGCCTTAGAGTCAAGTTTTCTCCAGGCTTGCAGTGAGCCCTGGGGATCGGCACATCGGTCATGGTGTGCGCAAACCCTAAACCCTAATACCAACAAACCCTGAACCCTAAACCCTTAGCCCTGCGTCTCATGAATATCGAGGTTAGGACTGCCCCGGTTTACCAGAGTCAGAGGTTGCTTTACCCTGAACTACCAAACCTACTCGTAGGGCCCCCAAAAACTCTGTATTAGGGTTTATAAGTTAAGAACGTACAAAACAATAGGTTATGGTAGTTCGATGCAAACATTGCTGTACCCACCTGGATAGTCCACAGCAGCTCTTCGGCACAAATGGCACATGCGGCTCGGATCTCCGCTACAAAAAAAGGTGGCAGCTCGATCAGCAGCGTCCTGGATACGGGCTGACAGTGGGGTCCTCCCTGTCTTCATGTCTTCGCGATTTGAGACAGACTTGACAAAGACTTCGGGTTGGCTTTGGTTCGGGAATCTCCCATCTACGACCGAGCGGCTCTGCTGCTAGGCGCAGGGCTGCTTTGCGCTGCTCGAAGCTCCACTCTTGACACGGCCAGGCCAGGTGGCTGTAAAGGAGTCCTCTCCAGGGCTGCAATGTCAAAAACAAAATGAAAATGGAAGATATTGGGTGAAAGCACTGGCGCGGGGTCCTCGGACCATCAGGATCACATGGTTACTGTGCCGCTTCGCTTTGAAGAGGTGCTTCTCGGCATAAGCAGCATCTTTGCGGTCCAGTACATCTCGTGCTTTGGCCAACCTCTGGCAGATGGGCTCTTGCTCATCGCCTTGGGTCCCTTCACGATCGTCACAACGGGGGTCTCTGCTTATACGGTCAAACTCGTCAAACAGCTTGTCGGCAAAGTCAGAGGAGCGGCTCTTGACATTGAACCTGTGCTGTGCTTATAAGGAATCCAAAGAGCACTTTTCTGCATGAAGGCTGCCTGTATTAAAACAATTGTCAAAAGCAAAGTGAATCTTATTGCAGGCAGCAAACACGGCCTCGGGTTCTGCACCCACTTTAAATGTCAGGTGCAGCAGCAATCTTCGTGCTTCGGCGAGCTCTTGTAAGTTCGATGAACTGAAGATCTCAGTGAAATCCTGAGGTCCAACATTGCAAGGACGAGAAGGAGGGTCTTCTCCACGAAGTGCCTCTTCTGCTTCATGCTGTCTCCTGCTTCTCCTCTTTTGGGGTTTCCCTCTCTCGCTGCAGCATGCATGGCAGAATTGGCACTGCTCTCCGGATGTGCAGTTTTTCCTTTCCTGCTTCCTCCCTCTAGCGGCATAGAACCCACACGGTATTCGCAGTTGGCCTGGATTTTTGCATCCACATTTGCGCGTCCCCTGGCTTTCGACAGGAGGGAACAATTCGTTCGCCTTCGGAGCTTTTGAAGTACCGGCCTTCATCCGCGCTTCCGCTCGCTCTTCAGCCCGTCCGACCTCTTCCTCTAGATTTGTCTTACTCATCTTCGCTTTGAGTGCCGCCTCGCAATCTGTTACATTGCTAGGACAGCTTGTAGTCTCCCATGCTCGAAAGCGCTTCTCCTCTGGAAGATCCTCGTGAGCAAGAATTGGGCCGTTTTCCAAGGCGCATCTCGGCACCCAGAACAACGGTGTGTCGTTGTTCCAAAGAACCAATACCTCATCGCTCGCCATTAAAATTGTTTGAGGGGCCCAAGGATATTCATTACTTCTGGTGAAGTCATCAATGTATTCATTTATGTACCCCCTGTCCATGCGCATGACTTCCCATTCGCCACGCGTCGGGGGGTCCTTTGAGAACTTGGTCAGATTTAAATCCCGATTGAGGTAGACAGCCTTCCCATCTGCAAAGCAGCAGACTACTCGTACCTGGCAACGTCTCTCATACCTCTTTACGTAGTCGTAACGGAACTCTGTGTACTGGCGATCCTCGCACCAGCTTGCCGGTAGCCGCTGCCTTACCACGAATATGTCTGTCACATCAACAGGAATGTCATCGACGCGGGTCTCCGGTGCCATCTTTTTTTCTTTGTTTAGAAACTCCAGGCGTGGTCTGCATCCAGGTGGAGGACGCTTCCCGAAGACCAGATCTGCGATCTTAGGTGCCAGCATTGACAGCGTCTCCCCTGCATGTACATCCAGGTCGGCGGAGGTGGATGCAAGAGACCAAAAGCGGATCTTGCGTGTAACGGGTTCTGCAGTCATGGCGAGCGGATGGATGACTTGAGCCCTGATCTGATAAAGCCGAATGGACACTGCTTCACACTGTGACAAGTGCAGAAATCTGGGAGAGCATGCAGCGCCGCGAGGTGAGTCGGACAACGCCGAAACCAACAGACCTCTGACAACCCGCCTTCTTCTGACAAAACTCCCTGTATTAGTCACTAGTCAAGTCGTTGGATGCCCTTGCGGGGCCGAGATGTGCATGCTCGTCGAGCTTCGTTTTTCGCAGTTTCGCGTTGTTTCGCTGCAAGGGTTTCTGGATATGGGCTTTCTGGGTTTGGGTTTCCTGGCTTCCGGGTTTCTTGGTTTGGGCTTTCTGGGTTTGCGTTTTCTGGCTTCAGGGTTTATTGGTTTGAGGTTTCTGGCTTCAGGGCTTCTTGGTTTGGGGTTTCTGGGTTTGGGGTTTCTGGCTCCAGGTTTTCTTGGTTGGGAGGCTTCTGGCTTTGGGGTTTCTGGGGTTGGGGTTTCTGGCTTCAGGGATTCTTGGTTTGGGGTTTCTGGGGTTGGGTTCTGGCTTCAAGGTTTCTGGGTTTGGGGTGCGGCGATCATCAAATATCCGCCGACCCTGGCGGCGTGTTGGATGGGTTTCGATGGGCTTGGAGGTGTTAACCTCCCTTTTTCCCTCCTCCCACACCTAAATCCCTCACACCGTGCCCCCCCTGGGGGGGGGGGGGTACCCCATGGCTGTTTGCAAGCAGCACCCCCCAAAAGCATCGCAATCACTCCTTGTAGGACTTCGGAAAGCCCCCTTTCCCCCCCACTCTCACCTCCCCGCTCCCCCTGTGCCGATACACCCCCAAGGGATACTCCTTGTGAGGAGGTGTATGACCAGTTATTCCCTAAGGATCAAAGGGCAGCGCCCTGCACACGGACAGTAGTTGTTTTGTCTTGCTACGCAAGGAGAGCTTGTCTTGTCTCAATATGGTAAAACCACTGTGAGCCAATGGGCAGCGGAATGTATATGTATGAGCATGCAGCCATTGCTGTAGGTACCTGTTAGAGCTACCCCTTTAGAGGTTTATGGTTTCAAACAGACACTAATTTTCTTTTACCGGAAGCATGGCCGCACATTCACACATATACTGTTATGCCCACTGTCACAGTTGCGGAGTTTGGACTCATGATAAAAACAGCATATTGTTTATGCTATGTATAGCACTGAAGTACACTGTTGAGGTCACTCCTTTTGCACACACTCATGCATGTTGGTCAGAGAGATCATCTGTACAGGATCAGGTCTGGTAATGTTCTTCTACCGAATTATGCAGCCCTTCATTGTGCTCTTGTTAGAGCCCTGTGATTCACTGTTGTGAAACTCTGAGAATTTTCTTATCTCAGATTCGGATCCAGGTTTGGATCATAGGCTCGAGCATAGACGTTCGGATGTGGCTCATCCGGGTCTGAGTGATCTTCTTCGGAACTTGAAAAGATTCCGAGTAATCTGTTCTCAGCCCTGGTGAAGGCGGCGTCTGCAGTATCATATCCATGGTTGGATGTTGTCGCCTTTGGCTCGGCCTTTGGAGCAGCTTGTGAGCTGACTGGAGTTGCCTTGGCTTTTGCCGGTTGCGGCTGCTTAGCCTTTGCCCGTTCAGCCCTTCTTCTTTCAAGCTGTCCGTCTGAGGACGCCCATGATCTTTCACTTTCATCTCCTGAAGGAGATAAGGCGTGGGCATAAAGGCTATTCCAGTACTGTGCTGCAGAAGGAGTTAGGACTTCTTCATTGTCAGATTCTGACTGGTCTTCCTCAGAGCTTTGGTCGTCAAAAAGTGTCTCGAGGACATTTTTGAGATTGTTATTTCTTCGCTCTATCTCTAGTGAGGAATGGACCAATTGGTTAAAGACTGTCCTTGAGTCCTTCAGTGCTGTTAGAAGGATTTCCACTCTGGATAGAGTATCTTGGATGGTGTCAAGATGTTCCTTCCTTTCCTCCTTGTCTCTCTGGATAGAGCTTCGCAATGATTGTGCGATTCTGAGGAGGTCTGTGTATTTCGTAAGAGGCATAGTTACCGTTTGATTGTCATGTATGACAGTTGTTTCGTCGCCGCTTAAGTTCCTGAATAGGACTTCCACGACTGGTAGAAACTCCGTGCTCCACGGTTCCTCTTCATCATATGTTTCTACGTGCTGTAGCACGCGTTGTGTAAACTGGCCGGCTGCTTCTACCGTTGCATCGATAGAGCTGACGTGTCTTGCTGCCATGTTTCGGCACGTAATGTTAATTGCCTGGCCTTGATTGGCTTCGTTAAGTGCAGCGTCTGCATAGGTGCAGAGTCCACTGTTGTGGGCTTCTCTAGCTGCCTTTCGTTGAATGCGCCGATTTTGACCTCCTCTTCTGGTAGGACCTTTTGGTCTTGGAGGATCAGAAGGTACTGTTCCTTTCGCCTTTGGCGGAGGACTCTTAGGTGGAGGTGACATGTTTGCCTTGTTAGGCCCTGGTGGCATTGCCTTGGGCGCTGACGACGATGCAGCACTTGAAAGTGCAGATGTACCCTTGGCTTTTGCCGAAGATCCCTTGGGGATCGATGTATAGGTAACCTGCATGGCTTCTTCGGCCATTTGTGCATGCAAGGCATCTTTGAATAATTGCGTCATATGAGGAGTGGTGCTTGCATCATCGTAGGTCTGGAAGCGCTCAATGTCTCTTTCGGTGCCACGTGGACGTGTATCACCTCTTTGAAAAGGATCGTTCCTGCGAATCTCCGCAACTTGTACTGCATGGAGGCAGTTTTTGCACAGCACCTTCCTGCAAACATCTCTTGCTTGCTTGAGCTGGTAACAGCTGTCTGAGAGATGGTAGACTTCGCTTCGGGAAGTATGCCAGATAGGTCGCAGATCAGTTGTTTCTCCGGAATTGACCCTGTTGGGTCCTAAAGGTTCACGCGTCTGCGGTTCATCCTCGGGTTCGAGGAATGGAACTCTTTGGTTCGCTGCTGCTTTTGATTTTGGTTGTTGGCGCTCCATACATCTGATAGGAGGCCTGGTAATCTGCTTCCACATCCAGTGTAAGCCCATTAGCAGCAGGAACACATTCCACGCGATGCTGAAGACGGAGAAGTCCTGCTCACTGGTTAGTGAGTTTGGAAGTGAAGTTTCATCAGTCTTGATAGACTCTGCGTTCGCTCCACCTCGGTTGCGGTGTCCGAACCAGCCCGACAACCCCGCTGCTGTAGCAGCTGTTCTGAGTGCCTTGCCGCTCGGAGCAGACGGTGGGCGCGATGCCTTCCTTCTTCTCCTCCGGCTGGAGGATTCGTCCTCTTGTTCCTCTTCATCTCTCTGAGCAGACATCAAGTTTGATGTTTCTCTTTCGTGTTCTTCGATGTCACTTTTTGTTGGTGACGGTTCTTCTTCTAGTCCATCCAGCTCTTCCAAAGACATGTTGAGCTTGTCAACAATATTGGTTCTTTGAGGCCTGGACCTTGATCTTGGTAGATCTTGTTGTGAAGAGGACGATGATTCCTGGTTCCTTCTTGGAGGAGGACCTTCAGGCTCGCTGGGACGTTCAGGCTGTGGCCATTCCCAGAATCTTCCGTATCTGTGATGGCTACCTGATGGTTGCGATTTGTCGTACCAGCTGTTGCCGGATGAGTAAACGAATGAATCGTTGTAGCCCCAGTATTCAGCATTACGCTGCTTGTAAGCCTTTCGCTTGTCAGCGATCTTTTGAACCTGGGCATCTGACCGGTTGTGTTTCCCTTTTGTAAGGATTGGTTGTATCGTGAAGCCCAAAGGGCTGTGCCAATCTTTGTCAGAGGGACTCAACCATAGGTCAAGGTTAGAAAAAGTTGAATAGTACTGCTTGACTGAGACAAACAGACGGATATCAATATCCCTGTTATTGTTCATGTCCTGCCACATATCTGAGATTCGCTCCCAGTATGTTCTTTCGGCGGCAGGTGTAACATCTCTTGGACTAGGTGACGCCGTGTGCGGCGTTTTACTCCAGTCAAGGATATAACTGTTGATACAGTCAAGGTCAGCAACTTTCTTCGCCGGGTCCGCCGGTAGACGATCTGCACGTGCCAGTCTGTGCTGGTCGGAGTTGTTCAAGCAAAGATGTCGCACTTGTGAGTGCCTTCCTGCTATTTTGTTGAATGCTGCAAGTTTCTTCTCCAGGTATAGAGAAAACAAACTGTTTCGCGGGTGAACGTCTCCACCTTTTAAGGTGAGCCTCGACGCAATATTATTGAGATCTCCCGCTATTACATCCGGTTTAAAAGGGAGAATCTCGTTGAGGAACGCGTTCACCAGTTCGCGTCTCTGTTCTTCCTTATGAGTCATGAATGAGTTGAAATGGACGATCGCGATGGTGATGACCTTGTAAGGCCCTTTTGTACACCACATCTCGTCAAGATCGTTCGATGCTTCTTGTGAGAAGATCTCTGCGTATGACTCAAAGTCTTCCTCTGGTGGCTCATCACCCTCGACATGGCCGTTCCATTCACAGAGAATCGGCGAGGGGTCGAGGTTCGACAGTGTCAGGCACGCCTCTGGTGAGAGGTAAGAGCCATCAGTGGGTCCATCCTTGTCAGGATTTTTGCCCTTGAGTGGGTCATATCCGATAATCTGCATGAACTCGTCTCTCGTCATCCTTTGGCCAGAATATGGGTGGACCCATTCTTTTGCCTCTGGTATGGTACTGTGGTACCCAAAGGTGAGGCGGCATACCGCACCGTGGCATGCCCACAGTCGCTTCTTGGGACCACCATTCTTAGGCTTCATTGTTCGATGACGGTAAAAGTGGTGGACGAGAGCGATGTCTGTTGTTGGGTCACCCTTGACTCCAATATACATCGAGGGTGCCTCAGGCTCCTTGGGAGGAGAATGGATTAGCATCCCCCTGTATTCATGTTGTCGCATGGTTGCGATCGAATACTCTGACGCAAGTGCTCCTGCCTCGAGTACGAGGGTAATATGAGCTGAATTGTTGAAGCACATGTCAATAAGAGGGTGATAATCGAATCCCTTCTCAGGTTTGAGCTTCT